GCGTATTGCCAATAAATCAATGCAGGAGCTACTGGAGAGAGAAGGTAACCAAAACCAAACATGAGAACGGACAGCTTTAAAAAACCACTGCTCGCAGTGTCCTTTCCATGCTTTAGACCAGCCTTTCCCCAGCTGGCAACCACCAGATGTGTTGGACTATATCAGGCATCATCTTCTGTTGGTCGGGGATGATAGGAGCTGTAGCCCAGAACCTCTACAGGATGCCTGGTGGGGAGGAGGGCTTCCCTCTGCACATCTGGACTGAAAAGCCTCTGGGAAACAAAACAAGACAACTCGCAGTCCAAAGATATGAAAACTGCGACCCACCCACCCAGCTGAACACTCGCATTGATTAATCGACTGATCGAAGCGGCCCTGCTCAGGAAACATGCAGTCCCATTTCTGCTCCTTCGGCTTATGGCCCATATATTTTCTCGGGGTGCAGTCAGTCTCCAGCCCCAGCTCCCATTCCCCCACTTTGCCTGGTTCTCCTTTCGCCCTGTGAGCACGCGTCCACATTTCCACCTGCAGGCACCCTCCATTTTTCTCTGGGATCCCAGACTTCTCCCCCTCCTCCCTTCACAGGCATCCTTGCTCAGACCCCCCTCTAATTTCCACACCTCCGCCGGCCTTCCCTCATCGGAGTCCCTCTCTCTCTTTTCCTTGCGCCCTTCTCTGCTTGCCAGACCTCCATACATTTTGCCTCCTCCATGTCAACTGGGGCTCCTTGTTCTCCCCCAGGCCCGATCCTCCTCTCCTCTCCTCTCCTCTCCTCTCCTCTCCTCTCCCCTCCTCTCCCTCCCAGCCCCATTTCATCGCACGCTGCCATCCCCCTTTCACCTCCTGCATCCTGCAGCCCTTTCACCCCTTGACCCACATCTTCCACTGTGCAGCCCCATGCTCAGCCCCCAGAAAGCCTCCTTCCCCCCCTGAACCTACTCCCCGCAGACCCCGGCACCCCTTGAACCCACCCGCCTTTTCTGCAGCTCAGGTATCCTTCCCAGCCAGCCTGCCGGCGTCGCACTGTCCTCTTGCAAAACCCCCTTACCTCTTTATCCCCCAAACCCAAGCCCTCTGTCATCCCTGGCCCCTCCTCTGCCTCCTCCTCGATCACATCCTTCCTCCTTAGCCCCCAAACCTGCAGGCTCCGGTCCTCCCAGCCCCCCACCTCCTTGTCCGCTCCGGTTTCCGCCACCCCTCCCCCCTCCCTTACCTTCTGCCACCCATAATCCGCATTTTCCTCCTCCTCCTCCTCCTCCTCACTGGAAACCACCTCCCCCCACAGGTCTCCCCATCCGATCCTGGATCCTGCCTGGCCCCAATAGCAGCCGTGGCTCCTCCTCCAAACCTCCGGCGTCTCCTTCCTTCCCTCCTCCTCCTCCCGCCCCAGCGCGGAGCACAAGGAGGAGGGAAGGAGAGAGGCGGAGCCCGGCCTGGGCCCGGCGTCCCCCCCCAACACAACACAACACACACACACACAGCGCCGGCCGGCCAGCCGGCCGGCCGGCCCCCTTCCTCCTCCGCTCTGCTGCAGAGAGAAAGGGGGCTGCCTCCCACCCGACCCAGCGCCCATTTGCATCCTGGATCTCATCACCGAAAGCAATTCTTAAAAACCTCACCGAACTAGCAAGGTATTGAAACATACCTGGGAAAATGGCACAAAATGAAAGCTCGGCTGCCGCCCCCATTTTTTACACACACTCTCTCTCTCTCTCTCTCTCTCTCTCTCTCTCTCTCTCACTCCCCATCCTGTGCACGCATGTGTGCCTGTGTGCACAGCCTTCGACTGCACCCCCCTCCTGCTCCCCACCCCGAAAACGTGAGCAGGGGGAGCTCTTGGGCCCTGCCTCTTTCCCTCTAGTGAGGAGCCAAAGGCGGCTTGGGCAGCTGGCTCCATTCTGTCTTCACAACAACCCCATGAGGTAGGTTGGGCTGAGAGTGAGTGACTGGCCCAAAGTCACCAGGTGAGCTGCCCGGCCGAGAGGGGACATGACGCCGGATCCCACAGGTCCCCAGTCCAACACTCTCACCCCCACTTCACGCCGGCTCTCCGCTCCAGAAGCAGAGAAGTCCTTCCTCCAGTGCTCCTCTCTGCACCTTGAACATTCCTTCACATCCCACTTTCCCCATCGCCTTTTGTGCACACGTATATTACGAGTAGCATCCACACACTTTATTTAAGATCCCTTCAGATGAGTTTGCTCCCAATCCCAGAAGGATGCAGTTAATCGCTGAAACTACAGTAGAATGAGTAGTGTCAGAATAAGTATGAAAATATGAAAACAAAATGTTCTCCCATGTTTTTCAACTCTCTCTGTGTGTGCACATGCACATAAAATTCTGTGGCTGAAACCCCCGATTAAGGAAATTTTAAAATTGAGTACCCATTTGGAGTTCAGCTGCTAAGTCTATCCAACTCTACAAAAAATTCACTTCTGGAATTTAGACAATGCATGGGATGTGTCCCAGCATCAAGTGCGCCTCAGAGGCATATGAGGAAAAATGGAAAAAAACAGACTTAAGAGGGTAGCTTCTACCTGTAGTTTTCATGCATGTTTATATTAGACACTTGCCTCAATCTCAAACACTCCTGGCTAATTAAACCAGGAACTCTGTTTTAGTCAATGGGATGTTATCTTAGGACACTGTCCTACCGGCTGCACATTTAAAGAGAAGGAAGCCCCCAAACTGCAGAGGCTTCTGAGCACAACCTGGCCAGCTGGACGAAGAACCACAGGTGACCTTCACCTCCGTCCTTTGCGCTCTGTGTCATTTGCCAGATGCATTCTTCCAGTGGCGCATCAGAACCAGGGGGAAACCTACGTATATTAATCACACATGTGAAATATTACTCTCGCATCCCCTCCAGCGTATTGAACCCTCCTGTGCCCCATTTGTTCAACTGCATGTCATTTTCTTCTACATCCTCCAGCTACTAATGAACTGCTACGTCCTTTTTTTTAAAAGTAAGTTTTATTATTATTTTCTACTAACTAACAAAAAGAAACTAAAAATCATCAATCATCAGAAACATCAGACCTACTGGGTCAGCCTCCCGTGGTTTTTTTTTTTTTTTATGGTAATCCATAAACCTATTTAAGTCTATGCATAGTCCCGTTGAACTGCTACTTCCAACACTGGCCAGGCTGGTTGGGACTGATGGGAACTGGAGTCCGCCAACATCTGGAGGGGCACAGCCCAATTCTAGTACTGTTTGAAAAGATGTGGCTTTTATTTTAAATTGCATCTTTGGCTCATACACTGTGATGGAGAGGGGAAAAATTAAAAAAGAGATTCCCCCCGCCCCCAGCTCTACATGGACCCATAATTTGCTCAACAACACATCACATGCCCGCCATATGCAGAGGTCTGGAATCTATGCCCTAAATCCGACAACAGCCCTTAACAACCTGGCTTTCAAAACCGTGCCCCAAATGAATAGTCTGTGCTCATTTTGCAACTCATGCAGGCAAGCAAGTTCTGCCTACTAATTTACCTAACACTACATTCCTGCTGTCTAACAAGTCTCAGGCACAGTGAAACCATCACGGTCCCAAACTATCCAGTCTCTTTTTGGCACCATTATTGCTCCAGCGACGAACTCCGACAATAACTGAGACATGACCAAATGCGGTCGCTGACTGGTTTCCGGAGGCTACTTTTCTGACTGTTCTGTTGTGCCTGCACTCCAGTCCATTTTGGGGTGCAATTCAAGAATGATGGAAAGTGTGCATTACTTCCCATTGAGAGAGAGAGAGAGAGAGAGAGAGAGAGAGAGAGAGAGAGAGAGAGAGACAGACACAGAGAGAGAGAGACCCCCTCAAAAACAGCCTAGTAAGATCAATAAGAAAAAAACAAAAAATATATTAAAATCTGTAACAAAGCAAGAAGAGGAAAACAAAGGTTGTAAAATAACTTCAAACCCAGTTAAATACTTTAAAAAACAGCCTAGTATACACAATAATACAGAAACCCTTAACAGAATGTTTCCTGCCCCAGTCAATATAAGCCACACTCACTCTCATTTCCTCAGCATCAGCATCATCATCATCTCCATTTGCAACATGGGAATATAACTGGCCTACCCTGCAGGGAAGTTCTCAGCCAGGTCTGCCTTCAGGATTTTGGGGGCCCTCCAGCAGGGCAGTCAAAGTGCTCACACCCCTCCCACCCCCAAGTAAAAACATGAGAATAGAGTGAGGATTTTCTTTTCTCTGAGCTTCTGGGATGCTGTGTGCCCAGTGGAAGCGGTAGTACGGTGACAGAATTCGGTCCCATGCTGGATGCAGGGCCCTGGGAAATGCCCAACTTTGCTTTCCCCGAGGGCCAGCGGTGTTGTCAGCATTACTGAGCTAACTGCGAAGCAGGAGAGTTTGTGCTTGAGCAGTGGGTAAAATGCTTTAAAGCACTGAAACGAGAGCTCCACACGCTTTAAAAAGCACTAGACCAGAGGCAGGGAATCTATGAGATGCTACTGGCCTGCCATTGTCTCGGACTCCCAGCTCAGCTGGCTGGGGAGGCTGCAGCCTAAGAACATCTGGTTACCAAAGGCTGGGCATCCTGGCCCCTAATCCTCTTCCTTCCCACTGAGACTAATGAATTATTGCCATTGCATAGATTTGGCAAAGTGAGGCTGAGAGAAGCTCATCCGGAGCTGCTAAGGCAACGCCATGATACACAGACATCAAACGGGAGAGGTCTCTAAAGGAATACAAGGACACTTTGCCACTGAATGCGTCTGGAGGATCAGAACTCTTCCTCCTGGGAAAACAGCCAGGACAGCATGGTGAGAGCCAGAATAATCTAGCGGTTAGCACGGCGGACTGGAATTCAGGAGATCCGAGTTCTAAATCCCCACCTGGCCATGAAGTTCACTGGGCCAGTCACTGACTTTCAGCCAAACCTACTCTGCAGGATTGTTGTTAGGATGTATTCAAGAAGTGGAGCACAGAAGCCACAAGAGGGAAAAGGGATGGGATATACAAGTAAAGAATACATACATAAACATTAGTAGTCTCGTGTGCGTCTTTGAGGTTTGCTCCCTGTCTGCACCTTAAGGAGCTCAGACCGATTTCATACATGCCCTTTTGGTGCATTTGCTCTTCTGCTCTTGGGGTACATGCGAAAGACAGAAAGGCAACATTAAGTGCCTCATCTCACATTTTAAAACCTCTGCTCAGTCTCGCTCTGTATATTTAATCTGCTACCACTGGACACCCATGGCTACCGAGCTGCCTGCATTTTGGAATACCTTTAACCCCCATCCCCTTGAAAAGTCCCACCACACTTCTTCCCGGTAGAGAGAGACATGGGGAGAAGAACCAGATCAGTTTCGACAGTGTCGGTTTCCTCTGGCAATATGGACGCAGTGGTGGAATTCCCATATCAGTTTCTCCTATGCTACGGTAACTGTCTCCCCCCATGGCTCCATGCCACCGCTGCCTGAAAATACTCCCGGGAAGGAGTATTCCTCTGATCATGCCAGTTTTACTCCAGATTGCAATGGGAGGGATATTGAAGGAAACAGGTTCGGGGGGGGGGGGCAAGGATAACTGTGAAGCAGAATTCAATGTCTAGCCAGATGGCAGCATCTGGGCTAAGCAGATAAGAGGTATTTTTCCCCTTGCTCCCTTGAGGGAGCTGGGGGTGGCCCATTTGAGCAGGAAAAGCGTACCTTGAGAGCATACAACTGACCATTTAAACATGCACGTGTGATTTTCGGACTAAGTGCAAGCTTCGATGAGCTCCCAAACACACATTGCTTCAATGGGATTGCTCCAATTGACTTCAACGGTGCCATAAAGCTGTATTTGCAATATACGCGCACACGGCTTGTCTTTGGCAATCTCGGTGGCTAGCCAGAATAACCGTTAAAACGTTCATGTCTGGAAGCTCTGATCATCAGTTGCTGAGAGTTAACAAGAGGGGATATTCCCATCATGCACTGCTGCTTCTGAACTTCCCTGAGGCTTGTGCCAGCCACTGACAGCAGACTACGCACTGAGTTAGATGGGCCAGTGGTTTGATGTAGCACGGTCATTTTTATTTCTTGGACCAAACTGAGCTTGAAGCTCATCTCTCTTGGCACTCTGCTCTCACCGAGCTCTTTGGGATGCAATCCATGAATGCGACTACATACCAACTGTGGATATGACAGTTAACTGGTTTAGGAGAGGAGAGGCAGATCAATGCTGGGTTCTGTAAATACTCCTGTGAAGTCTCTCAGAAGGCAGCAGGGAGAACCGTGCGCGCGCGCATGTAATCACAGACTGTGAACAATCCATTTTAATCAACTTTCAGAATATACTCCATAACACAGAATGACAATTCTAGACTGCAGAAGAATAAAAAAAAAAAAACAGATCAAAACAGGAAAATTGCAGGCATACTTCATTCCATCTTAATCTGAAGAAGGGGGAAAATGTGTGACCCTGAAAACAATTACTGGGTTACAGGGCATAAGTACCGGAACGCCATTCCACGAGGATTCTAACTCCTGCTTGGGATTTGGCAGAACTGAGCATTGCTGCGATGCGAGACCATCCTCTTACATGAAGAACACGTTGCTTTAAAACAGCAACACCTCCCCCCTCCCACCGGTGCTGCACCACAACGACAGGCTGGGATACGATTAAGTAGAAATGCCTCTTTCCAGTTTTTCCCTATTTCTGCCTTTTCCTTTCATTCATATCACTGCCACCCCCAAACAAGCTGCCAGTCGCCCACCCTGCTCCCAGCAAAGTTGCTACATCAGCAACTTTTCTGCTGAATCTATGGAGGGAGATGGGTTTCTCTGGTGGCCTGATTTCTTTCCCCCGCTGTGGAAATGGCAAAAAACAAAAAAACAAAAAACAAAAAAACCAGACAACACCTCTAGCCACACACATACACAAGATCAAAGTCCAGTTTGAAATTAATCTGACATATAAGACCCTTAGTTGTCCAGTTCTCCTGCCCAGCCCACAGTCAAAGTCATCACCATTTGGCACTTTATATTTTGGGGATGCATTTCCAAGGTCATTTAAATCCAGGCTAGTACTTCTAATAGTTATGCAGATCTCGCAAATAAGCCCATATAAATTACTGGGTTGCCTTTTTTCCCAGAATTCCACCGAGAGGTTAGGATTCTGCATTTCCACATAGGCTAAAAAAAAGTGGAAGCCACCTCTTTCACAACCAGTTTCCGGAAAAATCCTACCTCTGCTATTGCCACATTCCGGTGACTAAAGGAACAGAACTGCTTTCTGCTAGGTGTGTTGGCAGAGGAGGAAGGAAACTTGAGGGATTGACTCCACTTCTTCTGCAGAGAGCATGGAAATCAAGGAAAGCAGCAGAAGAAAGATGGAGAAATCCCCACCTCCTCCACCAATGCACTCAGCTCACCTGTACAGAATTCCTGATCACCAATGCAGAACGGGTAAGTGTTAAATGTATGGGTGTATCAGAACAAGAGCCATAAGAATGTCTACTAGTAACATCACAAATCGATTCTCATGCTTCCAGACTGTTGGGAAACACAAATACAATATCTACAAAATATTCCCTTGCACCTAGCCCTTGCTTTTAGTCACAGTGTTTGAAACCCTTGTCTTTCCCCAAATCGCAATTCATTCTGAAGAACACCAAATACTGAGGTAGTGGGAACATCCTGGGGGGGGGGGGAATCAAGGGATAAATAAAAAAATATGTCCACTTGATAAATTAATCCCAGGCCTACAGATGTAAGCACAGCAGTCTGAAATCTACAGCTGAAATCCAAACTTTCCACTGCTATTTGGGCTACCACAGAACCTGAAATTAGGCAAACATCATGCTTACGCATGATCTGAAGTACTATTTCCTTCTCCTAGCCACAATACAAGCTCCCTGTATTCCGCTGTTTCCATCACCCACTTTTTGGAGCGTTTACTTGTAGGGCACTCTGGGGTGATCCAGCACTCTGTCTATTATACAAACTACTGAATCTCCCTGAGACAGGCCCCCGATTTTGTTACAAAAATCACCAACCTAGAACCAGAGGCCAAGATGCTGTGCAAAGAGATGCAGAATCACTGTTATTTTAATGTGATTTAATCTGAAGAGACACACAACTGGTTTGTTAGCTTTTATTGCATAATGGTCGTAAGAAACTATGTGCTGCCAATGAAGAGGTAGCCCAGAGAAGCTCCCCAGTGCTTTGGACTAAATTTAGATGAAACCTTACACAAGTTTCTCATGGTTGCTTGTATCTGTGAACACCACCACAGGTAAGCTGGGTTACTGGTATATTTATAAACCAGTATAATACAGTGCAGAACCACCTCAAGAGGAATGGGACAAATCCATCCCACTTACCCCGCATCCTTAGTGACTTCTACAGGTAAAGGATGCGGCCTCGAAAAGACTAAACAAACTGCATGCACGCGGGGAACGTGGCATTCCACAAGAGTTGGACACGGGTCTGCCTACATCATTTGCATGAAATATGCATAGCATCAGCACAGCCTTAGGTCTACAAGAGATCAAAATGGATGGTTCTCTACACTGGCTTGCCCTTTCAGCAAACAGGAGAGTCACGGCCAGTTGCTTTCGGGAAGCAGAGCCAGGTCCTCCTCAAACGACACCTGCAGTGCTGGAATTGTTGTGGGTCACATTGTGGGCTGGCGCTGTGGGTCGCCTGCAGAGCCCCTGCTGTCGATTCCCAGAGCACCCCGTCCCTGCAGTTACTGCCTATTCACTCGTCCTCTCTGCACCCACAAACCATGACCAGAGGGGTTCACAACGGAACAGCATCTTCCCTGCTCAGACGGCTTTTCTTTTGGGAGGTCATGTGGCCCACAGGAAAACGGCAAATGGACGGACACTGGTAGTGGCAGGAAGGAGGTGGCGGACTGGCTGAGAGCATCTTACATAAAAGCCCTCGAAAAGTGGAGCCAGCTCTGGCTGGGACACCCTACCCCAAGCTATCCTGTTTTACCCTGGCGCCCTCCAGGGGTTTTACACTAGATCCCAGAAGCCCTGCTACTGGCCCATGCTGACAGAAATCCAAAATCTCTGGCAGATACCAGTTTGAGAAAGGCTGCTTCAGCCATGCACAACAGCCTCCATCCAACCTTTGCGCACATTCTCAACCAGAGAAAAATCACTCCTCCCTTCCATTCATAGACCTGCACACACCAGAAAGCAGCAGACAAGCAACTAGTTGTTTCAGAAAAGAAACAGATTGCGGAAGCATTAGTACTTAGAAGCACTTGGCCCAAAAGGCAGCTAAGGGAAAATGTTCTCATAACAGCTCAGGGCTGATCTCTAGTGGGTCTCCAAGTATATCTATAAGTCCTTTTCCATCTCTCCTTCTGCTGAACTTTGGAGACAGATTTCAAGCGTGCACTTTCCTCATCCCAGCCGAGTCTGCCTTTAGAAAGGACAATATGATCTACATGCTCACACACACTCAGATCCACCAGACTAATTATTCAATTATAGCTACCACACCCTCGCTCCATAATGACAACGAAAGCACATTATAATACATATGGCAAAATGGCGAATAAGACGGGCAGTAGGTGAGGGACGAAATATGGGCTCTCATTCTCAGCACAGCAAGGGAGCAGTAAAAAACCAATATAAAGGCTATTGGCATTAAGTGATCATATAAGCACTCGCAGATGCCTCATCAAAGACTCATTAAGGATACAATCCTATACCCACTTCCCTAGGCCTAAGCCCTTATTGAGCTCAATGGGACTTACTTCCAAGTCATCATGCAAAGGATAGCATTATAAGGAGGCAGCAAAATTCTTGAAATAGAGAAAGTCAAGACATAGTTCTCTGTTGAAGAAAAAAAAATCAAGGTGCACTAAATAGGCAATCTTATACTCATTTATTTGGGAGAAGGTCCCACTGAACTCAATGGGAGGTTACTCCTGAGTAGGCATGCATAGGACTACATTGTGAGCACCACCCAACGAACTCTTTCATACGAGTTTACCATTTCCTCCCAAGATTTTAAATACATGTGAAGACCAAGAGCCTATGCATTTTTCCCCGTCCTGAAATAAATACCTCCTCTTCCACCCCAGTTGAGACCACACTTACCTGAGAGTAAATCCCATGATTTACTTCCAAGTAAATAGCATAGAGCTGCAGCTGCCTTCTGCAGAGGAAGAAACAAAAACATGGATAAACAAATGAAAACAGACCAGGTAATCAGTCGCTTGCAGCACCTACAAATTCAGGTACTAGTCCTCATCAATCTATGCCCTCATATTTTTAGACTATACGCGGCTTGGATCTAAATCTGACAATCTCCCTTCTCCTCTAAAATACTCCACTTTAGAACTGCAGCTTAACACAGAAATAATTTCCTAAGCAATATTTGAATTATAGGTCTCTCAGGTCCAAGCAAAGTCACTTCAGCATGGCCTACACTCAAACCACACTAGGGCAGCCAGTCTGAGAAAACACAGTAGCGAGTTAGATCCAGTTTTAGAATAAATCCTCTGAAAACAATGGAGCTTAGTCATCACTAAATTAAATCCCACTGATTTCAATGGGCTAACTCTTAAATATAGCTAAGCCTGGATCTAGCCCACTAATATTGCATGCAAATCCACAAGTATCATTCCAGCTGTTCTTCTGTCATCCTCTCACTACTCACAATTTTTAGCTCTCTTGTGAAACTAACGAAGTGAATGGAAGGTCTTGTCAGGGGGTGTAACAATATGGACACATAAGAGAACTAACGAGAGGAAAAGACTGACACATGGTTTCTGCCCACCTTCAATGTAGGCCAAACAGAAAAGACTCTGACTTTGTCAGGATCACTAGAGAACAGAGAAGGCAGAATGCAAGGAGAAACCTACATTGGTGAGAATAATAAGGCTTCCCTCCTACATTTTTGTATGAACAGAATGTTATGAAATGAAACCACCATTCTGAAATGCGGAGAGCTCCCTGGCAGAGGTGGTGTGGGTGCGTGTGGGTGCACATGCGCGCATGATATGCACATTGAGAGGTGGGATGGGGTGCCACAAGGAACAAGAAAGGTGGATACCAAAATGGATCTCAGTGATCCTGCACCTGTTCACAAGTGAGAGTCACAAAGCCACAGGAAAGTTGACATGCAATGGCAGAGCAAACTTCCTGTCTAATCATCCACCGGTTTCAAAACCTAACGCAAAGGGATTTAAAATGACATTTCTGTTTTTCACATACACAGGTAACAGTGAAAAGCGCAAAGCCACTTCAAGGAACACACGTGGAACGTAATGCTGGCGTCAACATCTCCCCTTCACCACATGAAAACCACGTGTGGCAACATGAGATTGACCTCACACTTCCTTATGCAGACTTCCTTATACACACCCCACATCACCTCCAGTGCCCTTTCTGCACAGATCAACTAGATAGTCCAATACCCTGCACACACCCCACCAATGCACTGCAGAGGAATCGATCCCTCCATATGCACATCTTGACGTTCTTAGAAAGCTGCATGATCCCCTACTTCGTAATACTGGTAGGCACCCATCTACTTTTTGCTATCCGCACCATCTCCTCTACTTCTCCCTTCAACCTGATCCAGACCAATTCCACCCTTTTCTCTTTCCAAGGGATCTGCGTGGACAGAAACACACACAAAGTGTAACACGTGTGCTTTCCTATAGTAGAGCACACACTCTGCAGGTGGAAGATCCTGGGTTCTACCCCTGGAACGTCCTCGTGGCGTTAGAAAAAAATCTTCTCTGAACCCCGCAAGGGCTGTTGCCAGTCAGTGTCAACAATACTGGGCGAGCTGGGCCAACGGTGACTCAGTCCCAAGCACGCCTAGCCTCCTCGTCCACCACCAACCCCGCAGGATGGGGAGAACAAGCCCCTGAAAGCTGCGGATGCAGGATGCGATGCCTGCGAGCATGTGCGGTGAGTGAGACTGAGGTGCATCCAGCAGCCTTTTCCCTCCTCTTCTTGGAAAGGTCAGCACAAGACGAATTTCGTCCTCCTCCCCCGCACCCCCCCCGCGTTTTCCTTTCCTTCTGAAACGAACAGCCTCCTTCTAGAGAATGGGAAGCAAAACGGTTTCTGCGGCTTCACAGAAAGAATTGGCCCATCTCTCTTCCTGTAGGAAAAGTGGGGGAGGGGGGAAATCCCTGCATCGGGCCTGCATCAGGCAAAGGGGAAGGGCCATCCCATAATAAGCCTCCTCTCCCTCCCCACCCCACCCCTCGCGTGAATGTGTGAGGGGGGCGGGGGGCTGAAAACCCGGGGTCTTACCTGGGGGGGTCTCCCCACCTCCGACTCACCCTTTAAGGAACCGCTTCTCCTCCTCCCGCCCCCCTCCCCTCCGAGGGAGAGAGAAGCGAGAACAAGGCAGCCGAGCATGGACGGTGCAACCTAACCCGTCTCGGGCGCTCCAAGCCACGCCCACTCCTACAGCCAGGCCACCGGGCGGCCGCCGAAGGGTCCGGGAGGCCCGGAGGCGGGCCCAGGCAGCATGTTCGGTTGAGAGAACCTTCCAGGAAGTCTTGCTCCTCGCCGAATGAGGCGGGGAACAGAAGGGAAGCGAGAGGGGTCCTCTGCTGGGCGAGGCTGTCTAACGAACTGCCTGATTCACTTTCTCGACTTAGACGCTTTACAAAAGAGCGAGCTCGTTACTTAAGCTTTCTTGATGAAGCGTTTGGCCGTGTGGCCGTACGTATTTTATCCCGTCCTCTTTTAAGGTAGCGAGGCTATTGGTTAGGCACCTATATGAGGAAGCCATCTTGGACTGGCTGAGATTCTAGGGCAGGCAACGTGCGGCTCTCTTGACTTTTGGCCTAGGACTCCCATAATCCCTCACCATTAGCTATGCTGGCCAGGCCTGCTGGGAGTTGTAGGCAAAGCATTAAGAGGGTCACTCCCGGCGTGTTGTTGCGGGGGAGTTTATTGGGGGATCAGGAGCGATCATGACTCATGAATCTTATTTCAGGAAGAGCGTTCTTTATCATTGTTTAGGACCACTGTTGCTTTACAAACGTTGTTCCTCAACCCTTTATCACCGATTTTGCCTTCACAACAGCCCTGCAAGGCCAGGCCTGCTATTGTTCACAGATGGGGAAAACAGGCTGAGCAGAATTTTGGGCCTCAACAGCCTAATGCCAGCCTGCCCCAATTTGTCAGTGTCAGAATTGGATGCTGAGTCATGCAATAAAAGCTGTGACAGCACCTCACTGGCAAGGCAGTGCTAGAAATTAAATTGCAGACTCCCACCTTGTAAGTCCTGCCTGCTCTGTATGCACATTGGTCCAATTCCACTCTGGTCCTACGTGTGGGTTTCCTGTGGGCAGCTTTGAATGGACTTCTGGTGTGATCCAACCTGCCTGTTCGTATGACTCGCTCTCACTCCCTTTCTGCAATTGCACATGCAGAAAACAAAGTGGGCACGGGGCATACGCACTATCCTAATACTCATTCTAAGTTTTTACCAAGTGCATTTCGGTGCCTGTCCCAGCCCTCCACCTTGTTCTCTCCTTGAAAGTGCCCCCGCTCCTCACGGCTGCCCTTTTCCCTCTCCCCTTCCTTTGTGTGAGCTGGCGTGATTTCTAAGCATGATGGTGAGGCCTGCTTCTCATTTTATGGATATAGGCCACTTTAGGGGACAATAATTGTCTGAAAAGGGGGATAAAAGTGCAGTAAATATTTCCAGAGGGGTAGCCGTCTTAGTCTGTGGCAGCAAAAACAACCGTCTTGTGGCATCTTGAAAATAACACATTATGTCCACAAAAACTGATGTCATAATGTATTTGTTAGTCTTTAGGGGGTCACAAGAGCCTAGCTGTTTACCAGAAGTAATACAGCTCAGTTTGCTAGTAGGATTTATAACCTGGATGGATCAGGGGAGGCTGCTTTTAGAATATCTGGTTTAAAGTCTGGAGGAAGTGGGAAAGCTGTTTTAGCATTCACAGACCCACCATATTCAAAAGGAACAATTCCTTAATGCTCTTTTATTTTCATAAGGCAATGCTTCCTTTGCTACCAACATGTTTATTCAGATACCTTCTAAAAAGATTTACCATTTCAACTTCTATTTATTAATACTCATTTTGGACATTATATGGCAGTTGTGGATCCCCCCTTTTCCATTATTTAAAGCTTGCTTTGATATTTTTCAGACTCATTTCTGAGCAACCAAGATTGTGAAACCAAGGACATCCAGCAGAATTAATGCCAGCTTACATGGTTTGGGCAAATTTGTACATTAGACTCACCCTTTGAAAAGGAAAGAGAAAATTATGGCTGGTTGCATATCACACACTGAAAACTCTTATTTGTGGAATGCATTGTAAATATCTTTCTTTTCTGAATGGAAGAAAATATTAAGGAATTGACTCAAACTGTATCATCAAAAAGACCCCCTCCCCGCAGAATTAAATTGGGCAGCAAGTTTTCTCTAAAAAGTCTGTACAGTTTTTATGCCTGCTCTGAATTGAGGACTTTCTGACCATCATCACAGAACTAATTATGCCTACTTTCTTCCCTTTCAGAACTACTGTTCTTTGTAAACAAATATATGTATGCATTCTTTAAAAACATTGAGATGCTGTGCAATCACTGACACGTTTATTCGGAAGCTTAAGTTTGCAACATCAGATTTACATAATCTAAGCCACCCTTCCAGATGTGTTGGACTACTAACCCGAGGATCCTGTAACCAGTTGTAGTCCAACACACCTGGAAAGCACCAGGAGTTGGGAAGACAGATCTAAGCCTGGGGACACAAATACACATTGGCAAGCAGTGTGGCCTCTTCTCCTAATAATGAATGTGCATATGTGAGAGTAGATACTGAAGATGAATACTTTAGCCACCTAATGAGAAGGAAGGACTCACTGGAGAAGACCCTGATGCAGGTAACGATTGGAGGCAAAAGGAGAAGGGGATGGCAGAGGATGAGGTGGCTGGATGGAGTCCCTGGGGTGTGAGCTTGGGTGGACTCCGAGGGATGGTGGAGGATAGGAGGGCCTGGAGGAATGTTGTCCATGGGGTCGTGATGGGCTGGGCATGACTTTGTGACTGACAACAACAACAAATGTGAGAGTATGAAGAATACTTCTGATCAGAGTAGACATCTGTGGCATTCTTCAGACCCTGCCACACCTGCCGCTCCCCAAGACCGTTCCTACGTTCAAGGGAGGCCTTTCTCTTGCTTTTGGTCATCTTCCCTTATATCATGTGCCTCTTTACCCTTTTCAAGGTAAGCAATTGAAAAACCAGGCTCACTCTGCTAGGGACTTCTCTACTGGAGAATTTGAATTTGGCTCTGAACTGGATTGGTAGTCACTGAAAATGTTATCTAAACTGGTACAGTATGTTTCCAAGTAAGCCACTTGAGTTGAAATCTTGGCCTTTTGGGTATGTGTCCTCCAAAGCGTGTCCAAAGGCAGCCCCAAGAGTCTCGCTGAGGGCTTCTTTATGCAAGGTATTTATTCCATGCCTGTGATCTCTCTCCCCCAGATGTTTGCAGGGCCTTTTCACGACACTTTCGTACTCTACAGACTCTCCCATGTTTTCCAGCCAATTTCACGTCAGCAGGGGAGGTTACAGTGAGGAAAGTGCAGTATTAAACTTCGCACTGGAATGAACATTGCAAATCAGCTACGCTACCCCTAACGGCTAACAGAATATACAGAAAGGCAAAGACAGGCAAACCCCATGGGGGAAAGCCCTGTGTCACTTCCTCCTGCAGGGAAAATTGAAGAATAAGGCTCAATAAAAGAGTGGAGTTAAATCTTCATATAGAGAAACCCCCTGGCTTAGGGGTAGAGCAGAAGTTTGGATTGTAGAGCAGGAGACGTGGAAAATTTGCCCATCTCTCTTCTCCACCAAAGACCCCAGAGGGTCCACAATACCACCCTAGATGGACAAAGTGTCTGACTTAGCCAGCTACTGTTGCTCATCCCAGCTGCCAGAGCTGCCATCTTCTTCCCCAAAGTGGAGTACAATCCAAGTGTAGCAAGTTCTTTGCATACTTGCTGGTAGCTTTCATTAAGGATCTGTCAAGGCCTAAAGCAGAACGACTCGAGTCCTTTTCCATATATCCTTTCCCTTTGCCTTCCCAGTGTAAAGAGAATTCAGAGGGATTCAAACATAGAAACATTTAATATGAAGAGAAACAGTTTGGCACAGCTTCAAATCTAAGATGGGGCAGGCAGAGTGTGTAAGGTGATCAACTCCCCAGTTCCTGGGCTCAGGGAACCCAGAGCATGGAATGGACCTTTCCCAACAGTAGGTGGGAAAACTGTTGAAATACAGCACAAGTTGGGGAATGAAGGGACCTGGAAAGAGTCCAAGGAAAGCAGGCAGTATGGCTACAGCCCAGGATAATCAAAGGCCCCTCAATCAGAGGCAACGCTAGGTCCAGACCCAATTCCCATGTTCAGAGGGTGCCTGTAACAAGGTCATGAGCAGGTTAGATCAGAAGATTCTGGTCCCCAGCATGGTGCCTGAAATCGAATGAAAGAGAAGGGGGGGGGGAGCATCTTCTGTGCATTCCCAAGCTTCAATAGACCTCGTTGGAAGAGGGGGAAAACTTAGCAGCAACCTGATCGGTCTCCCGAGCCTGGAGTACGCTGGCGGATGGCGGATCCAGGATGTAGAATTGACCTTTGCTGGGGGCCGACCCGGATGCCATTTCCCTGGCAAGAAGTGGGGGGGGGGGCTCAGAAGACATGCATCTACAGGAAAATCAGAATTGCATTAACTATCCTCATAAGATTTCACCAGCCCTGCTGAAAGACGTCAGGTGCAGCCCGGCTCCTGTTTAGAAGGAAAACAAGCCCACAGCGCCCAGCGTGGCTCAGCCAGCTGTGCTCTTTGCGATTGCTCAGCGAGAAGGTCCAGAACTCATCCGACTGAAAGACCTGGCATGGCCACCAGACTGCAAGGAAGGCATCCGTGCTCCACAGCCAGCCCCCACCATTCATGCACTTAAGAGAGTAAAATTCCACACCAGTTTAAATAAAGTCCTAAAACTCCCAACATGCCCAAGCTGCACAAGACTTTCCACTCTCTTTCAACAGGCGCAGGATTCTGCCTTTAATCTCTTTCCTCCTTATTCCCTTTTCTTTGTGTGTCATGACTTTTTAGAGTGCAAGTCCACAGGTAGGAGCTGTCTTCTCTGGCTCATTCATTAGCCCTTCCGGGAGCCTTTTGGTGGGGAAGCTGGATAAAAACACTCTAAGCATATAAAGGAATAATTGGGGAAGCCCCAGTAGGATTGGAATCCAAAGGTCATTTTCCATCCTTAGTTTTCAGGACAGGGCCTGTGAGACAGGTCACAGAATTTCTCCACAAAGAGAATTTGGAGTGCCATAGGAGAATTCGGAGTGGAGGAAATGAGAAAATCATTGAAGGAACCACTCACCTTGCCAGATCAAAGCAAGAACCAGCCAAGCACAACTCACCATGCTTGACCGTAGCCCAAAAGTCAAATATTTATTACCTTTACAGCCCATCCTTCCTACAAGATGGTTCTTAGATGGTTCTCAGACTACACTTTCCACTTCAAATGTTATCTATGCAACAGCCAAATAGGGGAAAAGATAATATTTTGCCAAAGTTAATTCGCCACAGTTCATGGCTGAGCTGAAATCAGGCATTCCTAATCTATGCTCTTTAACTGCAATGCATCTAGGCTCTCTGTTATGTTCGTGATTACTTCTTCCTGCTTTATAATCCCAAGTAGCTACTGAGAACAAGACGTTTGCTGAACCTTAGCTGGGCTCATGCAAGAGAAAGAGGTGGCATCGCCTAACCAGGAATTAGAATGCAATTATGTAGGTAAACATAGGCTTGGATCCAGGCTCAAGCCATGCTGAAATCAACTCAAGTTACTTTCATGACAAACAATTCCAGAGTAGCTAACCATACATATGATTAAGTCTGGACCCAGCTCATAGCGATTATGGTTAAAATGAACCCAGTACTCTAAATCTGGGGCTAAAGGCAGCCAGACGTGGGTGGGTAAAGGGAATCCACAAGGAGCATTCCATTATAGCCTCCCACAAAAAGCAGTCAATGGAGGAAGGAGTAGTTCTTCCCCCATCTCCAGTAATTTAAGTATCCAGTAATTTAAGTAATTTAAATATCAGTAAGGTTTTAAGTAATTGAAAACCTTACTGATAAAATTAAATCAATTGCGAACATATACACATTCCATTACTATAGCTTCAGATAAGCTCAATACACAAATATGAGGGTTCTTCAAAGAGTTTCTGCACTTTTATATTTTATATCTTATAAATATATTTTATATATTTTTTTGCTGCTGGCATTAAAAAGTAGGTATGATGCTGGGAAAATGCTTCACAAAGGAAGGTGATTGTGTAGAGAAGTGATGTAATTTGTTTTTGAAATTCTTAATAGTTTTTAATTTTTTTTATTTTCCCATCATTTTAAGAATTAGAAATTTTAATTGGTTTTAACAACAACAGTCATTTTTTGTTTTTGTTTTTGCTTCTGTTGTTGATTTTGATTTTTAATGATATGTTTTTGCTGTTTATGGTGGTCATTTGCTGTTACTAATTGTTATAATTCTTGCTATTTGTTGTTGTTTTAATTGTTATACTATTGTAAGCCATCCTGGGACATTTTTCTCGTGTAGGAGGGATACAAATGTTTTAAATAAATAAAGTTTATTTAAAGTTTTTGAAGAACCCTTGTATTAGGGACATCCCAATGAATATGGGATGAATTTTGGAGAAGGATTTGGGACTGTGTACTCCTGGTTAGCAGGGGCAAAGACAAACGGGGTCCAACCAAAGATATCAGCAGATATTTAGATTAAAGCTCCCACAACCAGTCACTAAGCCATTAGGAAAGGGATTTCAAAATTTTAGGATGGGGACAGGACAAGGAAATAGCAACGGTAGGGAACTGGAGGAAAGTATGTGGCTGTAGTTGTAGTCTCAGGAGGCCAAACTGGGACCCCCAGAGGGCCAGCAGGGCTCTGGGGCTTCAGGTTCTGCACCCCCATTTTAAGGAATGCATCCCAAGCCTCAAACCTTGGAATCTCCAGTTAAAAATTTAGGCATAGAGCAGCAAACAGTCCGACCACAAGTATAAAGCTACTTGTGACCTTTACTGAAGCTTTTCTTTTTGTTTTAGAAAGTTACCTTTCAGTGAAACTTAATACGAATACAACTTTAAAAAGTCAAGCTAGCTATGTTCATGTTCCAGCAGTTCTTCTTTGGCCCCCGCACGGCTCACGCCCCCCACAACTCTTTTGACATGTTTGGTGATAATCCAGGGAGGCATATCTACAACTAACCTCGTTGGCAATATCGAACTGGCCCTGCTGAATCTTCACGTAGATGGCCTTCGCTGTATTGAGAAAAGCCTGGAAGAAGCAAATCAAAGGGAAAGGGATTAAAAATCCGCAAGTGGAAGGAGGGAAAGGGATTAAAATCAGCACGGAGGAGGTTTGGCATGGGGAGAAAGGCATGGATGTTAGTTATTTAGGAACCGTGCCTGCAGCGAAACGTTGCGGTGTGGACGACTCTTGTTCAGTTTCAGCCAGCCATGTCCTTTCTAGGATACTCCTTTCCAAAGCCCCTCCTCACCCCATTTTCTGCCTCCTCTCTCCCCACATGTACTTAGCTCCAGTAACATGCTCAGTCCTCTCTGAACAGGTGAGGAGGGGCTGCTTGAACAGGTGGGTTTTCCCTGAAGATGTTTGGCACTTTTGCAAACAACCAATCTGGTTATACTGCTAATATCCATCTCTCTTGTCTGGTGGGCATAGTGTTGGCTATATAAAATATCAGCATTCAGCCCCAGACGTTGCTAATGGAGGGAAATACGCAGGCCACCAGAAATGCAGGTCCCCAAACTTCAAAGACTACATAAGGACTAAGAGACATAGTTTTCACAGGGCACTGGAGAGCCGAAATGGGAAGATGAGACCAAGCATTTCATTATCCACCGTTAGCTGGACATTGATGACCCTTAAGGCATGCAAACATTCCCTTGTCAGACGGGAGACAAGGGACTGAGCAAAGGTGACTAGCCAGAGTTTCTTTCTTCACCTCTTATTTATTTATTGTGATTTATATCCTGCCTTTTTCCTACAAAGGGCTCAAGGCAGCTTACATTAACTCTCCTCCTCCATCTTATCCCCACAACAACCACCCTGTGAGGTAGGTTGGGCTGAGAGTCTATGACTGGCCCAAAGTCACCCAGTTGGCTCCATGGCGGAGCGGTGACTAGAACCCAGATCATCTGAGTCCCAGTCCCGTGCTCTTAACCACTTCACCACACTGGCTCTCACTACACCACACTGACCTCTTCCACATTGGCTGCTGTCTTTGCGGAGGTCTCCAGGAAAACCATGCCGTGTTCCCGGGCAAAAGCCTCCCCTTCTTCCTTCCGTACAGCCCGACGGCTCTCCAAGTCACTGCAGAAAGAGCAGCAGGCTGAACAAGTCAGGATAGGGCTGGAGAAGAGCCTCAAAGACAGAAAAAGACAAGCATGCATCCACCTGCCCTCCTTTTTTTCCTCTTCCACCCTCCTTTTTTTTTCCCTTGCGTGCTCTGTATCTTTCTCAATTGTTACGCTTGTTGGTAGGGACCTTCTGGTTTAACAGATTTGCAAACTGTTGTGGGAGCCTTTGAGAGCAAGGGGAGGGGTAGAGCTGTATACCTTCAGGGCCAGTTTCTTGGTTGAAGGGTGGGGTAAGAATTAAATCAATCAACCAAACGATAATACAAACGGAAAATGTTATGCCAATTACAAAAGCATTTTCTGAAAGTCACTTCATCCAGCAATCTGCCTTGGGCGATATTGCATAGACTCCAGAAAGAAATAAGAACAAGTCAACGGTGTTGGAGATGAATCGATTCAACTAATTCTGGATATTTGGGGGAGAAAGGGAGAGAGAGTGAAGGATGCAATGGAATAAGGCATCATTTGAGATACTGGAAAACCATTTTGAAATCTTCAATCAGACATGAGAATCACTCTGTTGTCTCGGGAGAAACCCACCGTCAGTGTTTTGCTTGTGCTTTCAAATTTTCTTTTGTTTCTGCAACCTGAGAGCCCTGGCAAGCCACCTGCCCCCAGCCCAGTAGGAGCCTTAACTGTAAACAGGCAGAAATCAGACACGGCACCCAAAGATTCAGAAAACTGCTCTGCATTAAGCGATTCTGAGAAAGGTCACCCAATCCTACCCTCCTTTTACCGTCAGAGGTGGTGAACTTGTGGCCCTTCAAAGGGTTTGGCCTACAAATGCCCCTTCTTCCCTCCCTGCAGGTTATCCTGGCTGGGGCTAATGAGAATTGTAGGCCAAAACGTCCGGGGGGGGGGGGGGGCGCAGGGACACACATTACCCATCCCTGCTCTAAATGGCCATCCAAAAACATGCGCATTTTTCAGCTCCTGGGGTGTCCCCTGAGAGATGGCTGAATCCTGGAGAACTAGTGACGCTCAGAGTATTTATGCAGTACTGGTCTAAGGATGGGCAGAGATGCGCAGAGCATAAGGGTGGGGAAAAACACACACACAACTGTAAAGAACAAACCCTAAACGAGCTTGCCTGGAAGTAAGTCCCATTGAAATCAACAAAGCTTACATCCCGCAAGCCCAGCAGCAGACAGACATCCAACGGTGCTTCAGGAAGAAAAGGAGAGATGGTCTACCAAGGAAATACCATCCAGCTTCTACTGCAGGACAGCCAATCGGCCCTCCCAGATTTGATTAGCAGTCCCTCCTATAGGACATCCAATCAGGACCCTGCCCCCCAAGATTCCATTAGCAGTTCCTCCTATAGGACACCCAATCAGGACCCCCCCCCCCCCAAGATTCCATTAGTAGTTCTTGCTATAGGATGGCCAATCAGGACCCCGCCCCCCCCAAGATTCCATTAGTAGTTCTTGCTATAGGATAGCCAATCAGCCCTCCCCAATTCCATTAATGATCAGCCAACCTTAGTGTAGAAGGAAGAAGGGGAGCACAGCAAGGCTCATTCCACTACTGAACAGTACCAGTTATATTTTATACACCTAAAGCAGAAGTGGGCAACCCTCCAGTCTGAGCCAATGGCAAAGGACAATGGATCATAAGACTGCAACACCTGGAAGTCCACATGCGGTCTACCTCTGGCTGAAATAATTCGGTGTCCAGAGAGATTTTGCTTTTCACCTTTTGAAAACCAGCAGCGGGACCCAAAGGCGCATGCGATTTGAAATGCCTGAGAAAGACGGACTGCTTCCAGGGGAGGCCGTTACTCGGAATCGGCCCCGTCTCATTCACTACATGTTACCGGAGGCCCTGAGACAACGTTTTCTTTTGCTGGCAACCCTCCCATGTTTTGCCACCGCTGCCCCCACTTAGCCACTGTGGGAGAGAAAGGGGGGCGGCCAACCCAGCACAGGGCTTTTCGACGGGGCCCGCGAGGGGCCCTTGGGCTGGAAACCCCCCGAGACAGGAGGCTGCTGTGCAAATATTAAATGGCAAAGTAGGAACACTAAGAAAAACCCCAGTGGGGTCAGATCTCAGGCCCATCCAATGCAATGCAAGGTTGCCTCTAATGAACCTTTTTCTTTTCCCAATGTTTTAGGACCTGACTGTTTTAATTGGGCTTTTATTGTTAGTGGAATGTTTAGGACTCCGTGTTTTCTCTTTCCATTTTGTAATGTTAAACCCTCCCAAGACTTATTTATTTATTTATTTATTAAAACATTTCTATGCCGCCCCTTGCCGAAGCCTCGGGGCGGCTTACAACACAATAAAATACAATAAAATACAAAAAAAAAAAAACCAATATAAAATTAACAATATAGAATAAATAACAATGTAAAAGAAGTCACCCTGGCCAGATAAATAAGCAAATATTGTTAACAATTAAAATGACGTTTAAATAAAAAGGTCTTCACCTGGTGCCGAAAAACAAATAACGATGGCGCCAGGCGGACCTCTCTGGGGAGCGCATTCCATAGATTGGGCGCCACCGCAGAGAAAGCCCTCCTCCATTACCATTACTTTGGTAATGGGATAGTCTAGAAAAGTTTTAAATAAATCAATTAAATAAATAATGAGTGGACTGGTTGTCCCGGGAAGCGCCCAACAGGAATCCAGCAGCAAACTAGCTCTGGAAATGAGGTTGGAATGAGGGCCACCGGTGGCTAATAGCCACAAACCCCGTCTGCGGTGACTCGCCGTGATTGTGTGTCTACTGCCTTTGCCCTGGGGGTGCCCATTGCGTGGAACAATCTGCCCACTGGGCTCAGGCGGGGTCCTAAGGGGAAGCGTTTCCACCAATCAGGTAGCACACACCTGTTTGCCCAGGTGTTTTTCTAGCCATTAGCACAGCCAGCTATGCCTGGTTATTTTCATGAGACATTTTAGGGTCTTATGACTCTTTTACCAGTGCGCTTTAGGGCGTTTCTTATCTTTTGAACTGCTTTGAGGATTTCACTAAGGCCTTTTTTGAAAGGACAGATTTTTCTGAACTGAACAAATGAAATAAACAAGATTGGACCCTGGGGGCTCCTTTGCTCTCTTAAGGAGGCTGAGAGGATGGGGAAGGGATCGGGGGCAGCTCGCCCGCCCCGACGAGAGAAGCAGATGGCGAGGGAGCACTGCCGAAACGCTCTGGAGCGGAAGGTGAAAAACCATCACCGCCCAGCCTGCTGCCCTCCAGACAAAGTGGACAACAATGCCCACCAGCCCCAGCCAGCAAGGCACATGTTGTCTGGGGATGATGGGGGTTGTAGTCCAGGCCATTAGGAGGGGGCCAGGCTGGGGAAGGCTGGCCTAACCCACTCCCTTTCTTAAACTGCTCCAAGGCCTCGGCCGAGATTGAAAAAGGATGCGACTGTAGGGGAGCCCGAATACCTTTTATTACCGATCAGCATGATGACCATGTGGGAGCTGGAATGCTGCCGCGCATCCTCTAGCCAGGAGTGCAGGCGATTAAAGGTCTCCCGCCTGTGCAGAGGAGGAGAGAAAGAACAAGTGGGCAGCAAGTGCACATGGTGGGCACGTCGTGAGCGGAGCCGGCTGGCGCCGGGGGTCAGACTAGATGGCCCGGGGGACCCCTTCTGACTCGCGCTGTTTCTATGTTTCTAAGTCACTGGGGGACAGAGAGAGAAATGGAATGGCTCACCCTGGAACTGTACCGGAAAATGTGGCGAAAGCAACTCTGAGCATAAGCAGAGTTCTTCCGTCCCTTAGTAAGTGACCTCAGACACCTCCTCCACACCTGGAGGTGAGGAAGGCCGTGGTCAGGGAGCAAGACACCAGAGACCCGCCAACTTCTCTTCCACGATGCTGTTTTCCCTCATCCATCCACAGTGAACGTCTGTAATGTCTCTTTAAGTAATCTAAACATTGCTTACCATGTTTAAACTTACACTATAAATACACAATCAAACACACACAGACACAATCATACAATAGAAATAACCACCTCTGACTGATTAATATAGAAAACCTATCTCCAAACTGGGGATGATCGAAGTTCGATCTAATTAATGATCTAATTGCAGCACTGAATTTGGACTGCAATCCTGTAGCTCCTAGGAGCGGATCCCAAGCACTTGTTGGATTCCCAACTCCGAGCCTGGAAAGAGAGGTTTTCCGACTGAGGAGGAGATCTAATCCAGATCGCCCTCCCAGTCACCGTGGAAACCTTAATAGCTCATTTTACACGGACACTGGAGACACACCGAGGGGAAGGCTTGCTGGCAGAGCGGGGCTTTGGATGTGCAGAATTCACCCCACAAACCAGATCTGCCGGCTTGCAGCACGAGTGTGAGAGCGGCATAAATTAACCCGTCCTCGAGGTGGAGGAGATTAAATCTGGCGAGTTGCGGGAGATGGATGGGGAAAAATGCAGTTCCCGCCTCAATCTCACCCCGGAGACTTTGCAGGTTCCAACACTCCCCACGCCTCTTCCGAAGCCGCAGGTCGAGGGTGTTGTACATCTGTTATAGGATGCATAATTTATGTATTTGTTTGCATTTATTAGATTTATATCCTACCTTTTTCCTTCCAAGTAATTCAAGATGGCTTGCATATAACCTATAAAGCCCTAAATGGCATGGGATCAGGATACCTGAAGGAACATCTCCTTTCCTATATGCCCTCTAAGATTTGTAGGAGAAGCCCTGTTCTGGGAACCCTCTATGAAGGGTTGTTTTTTGTTATTTGTTTTTCAGCGCCAGGCCAAGACCTTTTTATTTAAAAGTTATTTTAATTGTTAATTTATGAACTGTATTTATTGGGTTTTATGAATGTGCGGAGAGGTTTCCGATTTTTTAAGTCTAATTATATAACTGTTTATGTTTATTTATTAATCTTGTAAGCCGCCCCGAGGCTTTTTGCGAATGGGGCGGCATAGAAATGGTTGAAATAAATAAATAAATAAGGAGGTAAAGGGGGTGCCTACCCGGAGGGGGGCCTTCTCTGTGGTGGCGCCCCAATTGCAGAATGTGCTCCCCAGAGAGGTTCACCTGGCGCCGACTTTATATTTCTTTTGGCACCAGGAGAATGCCTTTCTATTTGCCCACCATGTTAAATGTTAGGAATTTTAATCTGGTTTTCATATATTTACAGTCGCATTTTGTTTTTTGTATGTTATTATATATGTTGTTTGTTTATTGATCTTAGCATTGCAAGCCATCCTGGGATGATTTCTGTGTAGGACGGGGGGAGGGGGGGAGGGATATCTTAAATAAATAAATAAATCCTCCTCCTCCTCCTCTCTGTCTCATCCTCACAACAGCCCTGTAAGGTAGGTTGGGCTGAATCTGTGACTAGCTGAAAGACACCCAATGAGCTTCATGGCTCAGTGGGGACTAGAACCTGGATCTTCCGGGTCCCCAGTCCAACATGCTCACCACTACATCACTCTGGCTCGGTTTGCTGCCACTCTGTGAATGATTCCCCGTGGGAAACACCATGAACAATTTACAAACTTGTCTCCTTCCTTGGACTTAGCCTGGATAACTAATTGCTAATTGTTTGCACCACCTAATACAGCGGGGAACAATTTGTGGCCCTCTGGATGTTTTGGCCTGCAACGCCCATCAGCCCTTGACAGCAGAGTCACTGCTCAAGGATGCTGGGAGTTGTAGCCCCAAAATCTGGAGGGCCACAGAAGGCCCACCCCTGACTTTTCGTGCAGCGCTGCCTTCCCCAACCTGCTGACCTCCACCTGGGTTGAGCTGCATCCCCCATCATCCCCAGGCTGCTGGGAGTTGTAACACAGCTCACAATGGAGGGCACCAGGCTGAAGAATGCTTTTCTAACTTACTGCGGGTTCCCTTTTATAACCATAGGGCATGCCCTGCCTGCGAGCCTGAAAGGAGCAAAAGCGGAGCTCTTGGGACCTTGAAAATGCCGCATGCTGCTCCTTCCCCTCTCTCTACGCCCCCTAAAGCGCTTCGCTCCGCACAGCACCTGCTTCTTGGCTCAGGTGGGCCTCACCTGGTGATGTCATAGACCAGCAGTGCCCCAGCGGCCCCCCGGTAGTACGAGCGAGTGATGGAGCGGAACGATTCCTGTCCAGCCTTGGGGATGGAAGAGAAGCTGTCAGAGGGGGTCCTTCGACCAACCTTCCCAACCTGGCGCCTTCCAGATCTGTTGTACTACAACTCCCATCATCCTCAGGAAAGAATGGAAAGTGGGCCATTCTGCCAGCCTTGCTGAGGCCACCCCGTACATCTCCTCTTCCCTTTGCCATTGAAGCTGGGGAGGAGAAGAGAAGGGGGGTTATTCCAGCTGCCCTGCGGAAAGGCCACTGGGCTTTCTCTCCTTATCCCTCCCCGTTCCTATTTCCTCGTAGGCTGTGCCCTGCAGATGGGAACTGATTACATGCAATCTGCTCTGGGAGGCTTTTGGACTGAGGAGTGGCACACAAAATACTTTTAAGTATTCATAAATCATCACCCAACAGTGCCATTTCCAGGGTGCCCTCCCTCCTGCCTTCCTTCTGTAACAATGGCGGCCATTTCCCTGGGCCAGCTGCATCTTTACCCCGGGCACCTTCCCGGGTCACTATCGCCCCAGAAGGAGGCTTGTGGCCCACCTTGGCATGCTTCTGGCCCGGCTGCTACTCCTAAGAGCCACCCCTCAGATGAACTGCAACCCACCTCAGCCCTCCAACAGTGTTGGCCAGCAACTCTCACAATCCCCCAGCCAACATGGCTGGCTGGGGGATTGTGGGAGTTGCAGTCCTGGACATCTGGGTTGGAGGAGGCTGTCCTGAGTTAAATGCACAGCAGTTGTTGTTGTTGTGTGCCACCAATCTGTCTCCGACTTAGGGCAAGCTATGCGTGAACACCCTCCAAATTGTCCTATCCTTGACTCTCCTGCTCAGCTCTTGTAAACTCCAGGCTTCCTTTATTTCATATCTGGTCTTCCTTTTTCCCTTCCGCCTTCAACCTTCCCTAGTATGATTGTCTTCTCCAAGGAGTTTTGCCTTCTCATGATATGCCCGAAGTACAAAAGCTTCAGTTTTGCCATTTTTGCTTCTGAGGAAAGCTCTGGGCTTCAATCTCCTCACTTGGTCGCTTTTCCCATCTAAATTTTCCTCTATTTCACTGGGGCAAGGGGGGACAAATTTAAGGAGTGAGAAGTGGCGGGGGGAGGGAACAGTTTAAGCACCCCCAACCTGTGCACAACCATCCACGCTGCCCCCACGTGTGTTTACTCTAAAATAAAAAATAGGGGACTGAACTATACACATTTCCGGTAGCATGCCATTTAGCCCACAGGAAAGCAGTAAATTCCCAAGAAATGGAACTTTCTGGAAACAGCACCTGTCTGAGCAAGTGAGGGGCTAAACGGGATCAACTTCCATCAGTTGTGAATTATGGTGAAATCTGAAACATTCACCTTGTCTTCTCTGTCTTTGGCCACATTTGGTGTCAGGGTAACTAAACATTCAGAATAAAGTTCTAATCCTATGCCAATTGAGACAGAAAGAAGGCCTATCATTCCCAGCATGCTGGGGATTGCTGATCACATCCACAAATGTTCTGCCACCCTTTTCTTCCTTTTCAGCCCTGCAATCAAGAGGACCAGAATCTTAAAGAGATATTGGCTAAGCTATGTTTGATCAGGAAGGAGGAGCAGAACTGATGGCAAAAAGCAAGGCAGGGTGACAACCAGCCTTCCAGGAAGGTTCTCTGCCCCCTCAAGGAAACTCTGTCATCTGTGCACTGAGGGACAAAATTCTATGCCTGTCAAGGCAGGAAAAAACCCGGGAAGGGTCAGTATGTCCACATTTATGAGCTAGTGCAAGTTGGAAACTGCACAACTTTTTTTGGCCGGAATACACACGGGGCTGATCGCTAAGTCATATTTTGAGGATGCCCAGACAGCAATTTTGTATGGGGTGACCAAGCATTGGAGCCAGGCCATCTTGGCTCAAAAAGCAGCTCCTCTTTCCTGCCTCAGCATTCCCCAAGCCTTCCCCTTCCCCAGCTGCAAGCCACGAGACTCCACCTCACAATCCTGAACACTCTCTTCCTGTATCAAGTGCCTCACTTCCCTGGTTCCTCCTGCAATCACAGCCCTGGCACCCCTTTGCCAGGCAGGCTGGAACAGGTATTTCCAGACTGGTGATACGCACAGAGGGTGGAACTCGACCTACGGTCCGAGAAAGAGGTGAGCAGGGAAAACTTGACAAAAATTACACCGCGGTTTTCAGGCGGCCGGTCCCCCCATCCACCTCCTGTAATTGGGAGGTGGCGCTCAGCAGACAAAACACGCCGACCTCTTAGAACTCCTCACCGTGTCCCAAATCTGCAGCTTGATCTTTTTGTTCTCAACGGTGACCATCCGTGAGCCGAATTCCACACCTGGGAAGAAAAAGCAAGAATAGGAAGAGGTGTTTTGGGGTGAGGAAGATCGAGTGGGCTTGGCTGCCTCCCCATCCCCACGGGCGCTGCTTCCCACTTCGGTATCGCCAGTGGCTTCCAGCCCGTTTTGGATTCTCCTTGCTCCACGGTTGCCGAGCACTTTCAGCCAAAAACATGCGCGCCCTTTTGCCCCCCCCCCGCTTTGCCTTTGGCTCCACCCACCGCCAGATGTGGCCCTTGGGGGCTCCTCCGAAATGGAATCCGGCCCCCAGAGGTTCAGCACATCTGCTTTTGGACGTAAGAATGGATGGATGTATGTCATAAAATGAATGATATGGCATCTTTCTCCCTTTGCTTTTCTCATTGCCCAGGCTCTGCCTGCTTTTGTTATGTAACTCCGCGAGGCCAACCACATATGCTGGCAGTCCTGCTGATAGAAGAACCGCAGGTGGCTTCCTCTGGATACAGAAAGCATCTCCACGCTACCGTGTCCTCCCCGGACAGCACCTGAGACCTGCCTGGAACCTGCTCTCACCGATCGTCAAGTCATGGATAGCCGTGAACCGTTTATCAGTGAACTGTAGCAGGAGGCATGATTTTCCGACACCTTTGGGGGAAAATGAGATAAACCGCAATCATAAATGGCTTTACTAAACAATGGCAGTTGTGCCATGAAGCCCTCTGCTGGCGGATTTTCGATCTTAAGTGTGTGATCCTACGCACAACTACTTGGAAAGTATATCCAACAATATTCAACAGGTTTGGCTCTCATATAAGAACAGCAATACAGCCTGAATCCTAGAGTAGGACGATAACCTTGGAGTTCATCTAGTCTATCTTATGTAAGAAAAAAACGGCAATATTCTTGGTGGGGTTTTTTTTTAATTTTTGGTGTGGTTTTGATTTTAAAACTTTAAAAAAATTGCTTAAAAAACCTAGTCCATTCCCTGGAGAAGACAAGAACTGCAAATATAGCTTCTCTGAAGTTTCCCTTAGGACTTTATCCCTTTGTTTATCCCAGTTGTTGGCCTTACAGAGACTTAAAGTCAGTTAAACAAATCGGGTTGTATTTAGGTTTGTTCATGAGCCCATTGAAATCAATAAGGCTTAAGTTCAACATGAGTGTGAAAGAGGAGATGGGAAGTGAAACCATTCCACTGGCCCTGCGGAACGAACACTTCCTGTGGCCTGCTTCCCTTATTTAGTGGTCCTTGTGTTTCATATCTTAATAAAGTACAAGTCGAGAGCAGAAAATGTTTGTTCTCTGGATTACTGAACCTGCTTAGACAGCCTTTTTGGTTGAAAAAGGGACACAATAAAACCCTTTAAATGAAGAAATACGAATTATTCCCTCCAATTTCAATGGATTCACTCCAAGGAAGAGCAAATCGGGACCCAGCCCCGGTAGTAATATGACCATATGTGAAAATGCCCTTTTGCATCATTTTCAAGGTTCAAGGAATACGGTTTGATGCTTCTGCTGGCAAAAACAGTGGACAGGTGTGGGATAAGGCGAGGCTGCCCAAGAAAAGAGTTCAGAAACAGCAGCTTATGAAAGAGGAGGCAGAAGAGTCTTATCTTGCAAGCTCCCTCGACACCGTATTTTGCAGGGGGTTCCTAAACTTTTGGGGCTGGTGGACAGATCTGGGAATCTGAGGAACTGCTGTGCGCTCTGGTGGAAGAGGCGACTAGTCAAGTGGTTGTGGAGAGGATGAGCAAAGCTAGTCTTGGAGAGTGGGACATGAACGCCTTACTTCCTGGCCTGCCGTTTTTCTCCATCCACTCAGGACTGTTGTCTTTACATGCCCTCTTTCTCTCTGCTCTCAACTTTTCTCCCTCTTTCTCTCCCCGTCCCATCCACACTGCCTTTGTCTCTTCCGAGCTGCAAGCTTTGCTCTTTCTTCCCGTTCCTCCTTCTCTTTATTTCATTTTTATCACTCAATAGCTGAACGCTCTCTTGCTGTTTCTCTCCTTCACTTCTTTATGTCTCTCTCTCTCCTTTCTATTCCTTTGTCTTTCATCCCTCATTGAACAGCAAGCTCAGGAACAAAAAGGCCAACCTGGTGCCCCAACATTTTTCAGTGCTGAACGTTTTTAAGAGATAGAAAATGAAGAGTTCTGAGAATGCCACTGGAGATGTCCGGAGCTGCCACGTGGGGATCCTGTGATGAACCAAAGACACCAGATCTTAATTTGTTTTCAAGCCCAATTCAAAGGCTTGGTCTTGATCTATAAAACTCTAAACAGCTTGGGGCCAGCTTTGAACAATCCCCTAATCTGCAGTTTTCATCAGGGCCCTGGTGAACAAAGAAGAACTAGGTTGACTGGTGCGCAAGACAAGACCTTTCTCGTAGCAGTACCCTAAACAAGGAATGTTTTCTCCATGCAAGTCAGATTGGCTCCTTAACTCCTGAGTTTCATACACGCAGTTAGAAAGACACTTCTCCACTGCACTATTGATATTAGTCATGTTCTAGCTCGTTTTAAAGCAGCCTTTAAAACAACAGCCGGGTGCCCTCCTGTTGTTTTGAGCATCAACTCCCACCAGATCTAGCTAGCATGGCTAATGGTCAGGAATGCTGGGAGATGTAGTTCAAAGTATTGAGAAGGCCACTTTAAATAATATTTCATTCTGGCGTTTATTCTGATGCAAGTTTATTTTTTGTCTTAAAATACCCATTGCTGTGGGGAGTAAAGTGATTTACGAAAGCTTACAATGCATATATAAATTTAGCCTGGCCCCAACTGTTCAAGGCTTTATGGCATGCCTCAGATTCCACACTGAGCAGGAAAATGCAAAGGTAGGAGGAAGTTCTAGGGGGCTGAGGTTCACTCCCCACCAGGCCCCATCACACTCCCCTTTGAGCCATGAATCGGCACTTTGTATTGCTTCTGTACATGACCCTTTTCTGAAAGCAGAAGAGAAACCGACACTGAGGAAGATGTACTCTCTGCTCTAATGATGGCGTACACATCTGTGTTTGGGTGACTGACGGCAAAAGCCTAGTTCAAGTCTTGTGCATCAGAGGAATACATATTGGGGGGGGGGGGGGGGAGAATCCTGAGTGTGTGGTGAATGGGGACTACCAAAGCAGGACTGCTGTTTATTTTAGTCCAAGAGCCTTACCAGAAGGTGATCCCATGGCTACAAGACTTGGATCAAGAAGGGCCCTTTCAGTTGTGGAACTCCCTCATCATGTCTGTTTGACTCCCTCCTTGGCTATATGCTTTAAAAAGAGATAAAACTCAAAGGGCTTCTCTACAACACGTCTGTCCTCTCCTTAGCAGATTCTGTCAGCACTGCTGTTGCTGACAGTGCAAAAAAAGTTATTTATTTATTTAATTTATTTAAAACATTTCTATGCCGCCCCATTCGCAAAAAGCCTCAGGGCGGCTTACAAAACAGATACCATTCACAATTAACCTTAATTACCACGTTCACTTCAGGGCTGTGTTTTGAGCTGTTAAAGGAAGCTATTGATTCCTTGCAAAAACTGTTTGTCTTGCTATTTGAGCCATACTAGAGATGATGACGATGACATATTTATGCCCCAACTTTTCTCCTCCTGTGAGGAACTCAAGGTGGCTCACCAGGTCCGTTTTTATCTTCACAACAAGAAGGAAGAGGTAGGTTAGGCTGAGAGTGAGCGACTGACCCAAAGTCACCCAGAGAGCTTCCTGGTCAAATGTAGACTAGAACCCAGATCTCACAGGTCCTCATGTCTGGCAAGCTCACTGCTGCACCACACCAGTTCCTCTACTTGTGTTTAAGGCAAAAGTAAAGGTTCCCCTTGACATTAAGTCCAGTCATGCCTGACTCTAGGGGGCGTTGCTCATCTCCGTTTCCTAGCCGAGGGAGCCAGCGTTTGTCCGCAGACAGTCTCCGTGGTCATGCGGCCACCATGACTAAACACCAAGGTGCACGGAACGCTGTTACCTTCCCACCCAAGTGGTACCTATTTATCTACTTGCATTTGCATGCTTTCGAACTGCAAGGTTGGCAGGAGCTGGGATGAAGCATGGGAGCTCCCCATTTCTGCGGATTTGAACTGTCGACCTTTCGATCAACCAGCTCAGCAGTTTAAACCACCGCGCCACCCGCAGTCCCCCTACTTGTATTTACTGAGAAGTACATTCCAAATATGCAATGAATGGAATCCATCAAGGAAGCCTCAGCCTTGAACTTGAGAGAGCTGAATGGAGCTGTCATGAACTGAACATTTTAGAGGGCTTTCATTTTGTTTGAGATGATTTGACAGCACTGAACAACAAATGGATTCCACTGTGTTCAGCTATACTTAATCTGGGGAACTGTAGCCTGAGGGACCCTGGACCAAGAACCAGCATCCTCCCAGCCTCAAACTGCTGTATCTGTCAAATGGGAACAACTGGGCTCTGTGTCCTACTCCACAGGGTTGTTGTGCGGTTGGCCACCACTGTAACATGGGGCCCCGTCCTGAAAAGGGTGAAGTGTTTCAAGCCCATTGAGTGCCGCCAGCACTGCAGAGAATAAAACAACCCCCTTCCACAGGACTCCTTTCATCCCCCAAACGCCACCGCCAGCCCCTCACTCCCCCTCCCATACCAGTGTCCCCGATGATGACGTATTTGAAGAGGTAGGCGTAGGACATGGCGCTGAAGCCCCCCAAAGCCCAGCCGAGCCCAGGGTCCTCCAGAGGCCACTCTAGCTCACAGCACAACTGTCATCTCTACCGCTCTCCCAACTCTTTCCTTTCTCCCCCTTCCCCATCCCTTGACGCTCTGGCTTTCCTTCTCCACCGCTCGGCTATGCCGGAATTAGAAGCTAAAGGTCATGGGAAAACTCCCTGCCCTTTCCGTAGCCGCTCCGGCCTCCTCTGCACAGGCTCCTTCATTTCCTGCGACGCTCTAGGCAATCCGGCGTACAGCCTCGCTTCCCTTCCGAACCCCGCCTTCCCAGGTTATGCGCTGCACAGACGGTTTGACGTCACATCCGGAATCCGCGGCGACGCTGTGAAACTTTTCCGCTCGGTTGGGGCCGCTCTGCGCGACACAGAACTCTGCTCTCCACTGCCCCGCGCGGCGCTCTGGCCTCCCACGACGCCAGCCTCCGTCGCCTCAACGGTCCAAGCGCCGGCGCTGTGCGGGGAAAGAGCGCCGCCACCCGCGCGAGGAGTCCCGCCTCACCGTTTGCCCTCTCACCCGCCTGCGTCCTTCTCACCCGCCCGCCACGGAAGGGTTAACTGGGAGCTCTTTTTAAAAGCCAGCCAACGTCGGGCGGAAGTGACGGAGATACCGGCCCTGGGTGGGCGGGCGGAAGAGATTTCCGGCTCCGGTGGAGGCGGTGGGGAAGAAAGGCGGGGAGGGGGAGCGGCAGGGCCTCCCCCTCGCTGGTGAGGCCGCTGCGCGGTGGCCATGGAGGTAAGCGGGCGGCGCGGGGGAGGCGGGTTGCCCGGGGGGGGGTGTGCCTCTGGCCCGGAGGGGCCCCACGGAGGGGCCACGGCCAGGGATGGCTGGAGAGGGAGAGGGAGGGGCGGCTGAGGGCCAGGGTCTTCGGCTGCCCGCGGTTCCCAGGCGCCCTCCGCCTTGCAGGCACTCTCTTGAAAGGCGGGGGGCCTCCGGGGCCCGGAGCCCTTTCCCCGACCTGGAACCGCCCCCGCCCGGCGCCCTGGCCAGGCTGGGCAGGAGAGCCCTGCTGGGGCAGCGGCTGCTTTCCGGATCCCACGAGCAGGACAGGAGTGCCGCAGCTCCCTCCTGCCCATGGTCCCCAGCTGCTGGAGTGCTTAGATACGCTGCTGCTGAGAACAGAACTGGCGATAGCCATCAGGAGTAGTAGTCCTGGATGGTCGTCTTCATGTATTTTTCCCATCTCCTTTTAAAACCATCCAGATGGGTAGCTGTCGCTACATCTTGTGGAAGTGAATTCTGGAGTTGTGGCACATGGTGTGTAGAAGAACTTTGATCTGGCCTGAATCTTCCACTGATCAGCTTTGTGGGATGACCCTGTTGAGTTCTAGTGCTATGGGAGGACGTGTTTCCTGTATGCACCGTGCATAATTTTATGTAGCTCTGTTGTGTCTTCTCTTACTTGTTTTTTCCCCAAGACAAAATCTTCCCTCATAAGGGGCTTCTCCAGGTTCTCGATCATTTAGTAGCCTTTCTTTGAATTTGTTCTACCTAGTCAGTGTCTCTTTCCAGGTGCTTCAGAACTCTATGACATATTCTAAGTAATTGTTCGGCAGAATATACTTGTTGTGTCCAAGGGCTGATTGCCATTTGCTTATCCACCAGAGCTAGGGAATAATCTTCCACATTCCACAATAGGTTTGGTAGCAAATAATCTTGCACATGACTCTTCTTTGCTTGGGCTTGGTTTGTCCAAGTCATTCCACTCTGGGGCCGCACACTGGGCCAGGTTGCATGTAACACCAGTCCATGGGCCGCCAGGAACAAGCGAGAGACAGCAGGCAGTGCGAATTATCTGCCGGGTTGGTGAGGGCGCATGCCTCACTTTCAACAACCTGTGACCCATCGGTTGTGGATTAAAAGATCAGCAACAGATGCTCTTCTCCGGGAACCCTCTGTGAATGATATTAGGAGGGTGAGTACCCGGAGGAGGGCTTTCTCTGTGGTGGCGCCCCATCTATGGAATGTGCTCCCCAGAGAGGTCCGCCTGGCACCGTTGTTATTTGTTTTTTGGCACCAGGCCAAGACCGTTTTATTTAAAACTTATTTTAATTGTTAAATTATATGAATTGATAGGATTTTAAATTTTTAGCTGAGAATGCACCAGGGGTTTTTAAACATTTTTTAAAATTGTTATATTGTTATTATTTATGTATTTATGTATCCTTTGTGAGCCACCCCGAGGTTTTGTTGTGATGGGTGCGGCATAGAAATGTTGTAAATAAATAAATAAATAAAATAAAAGCAAAAGTGTGGGTGTGTAGGAGGCAGAATGGCCTTTCTCTCCCACATGTGCGCATTGAATGCTCCATAGGCTGTTTAACTACTGGGCTGTGGTTGTGTGCAAGCCAGTTCTTTTTGTTCCTTTGTATTCCTTCTCTTGCTGATGTTGATTCAGATTGCAAGTCTTGAATGTTGAGTGGTGTGTTCTGCATTTTTTGTGGAGCGATTGGATCCAGTGAACTTTGCCCCCTCCCCTGTGATCTCCCAGCAAATTGGCACTCCAGTTTGTCTCATCCAGCACTGCTCATGGTATCCCAGGAAGCTGTCAAGCTGCATGATAGATAGGTCTTACCAACCAATATGTCTTACAACCAAAGCAGCTGTATTCCTTGTGTTCTTTTTGTGCTTTGTGAAACTCTGTGAGTTCTGATGCCCTTTTTCATCTGTATGGGTTGTTGGCAGCCTACATACAAAGAACTCCCTGGAGTGTGTGTCTGAGTAGAAGCGGCGCATGGTAAAGCAGTGACTACCTGCCTGCGGAAGTTGGCTGCCTCTGTTCCGTTCTGCCTTTTCTTACTTGACTAGGTTTGTGACAGAGAGAGCTCTGTGTGAAGGGCTGTAACAGGCAGATTGGACAGGCCAGAAAGCTCTGAAATTGCACTTGTCTTCGGCTGTGTGTGTAGCTCTTTGGAGACCCTGAATAGGGCCAGACGTCCAGCCTTAGGGTCCTGATGTCTAGTCTTGCCGTCCAGTCCATGGCCGCCTATGCCCTGGCCAAATAAGGGGTTAAACATCTCCACACACCGTTCTAGTGTTCTTTCTCCCATCGTCCTTGACAGCAGGGGTTCTCAACCATTTTTGTTTTCCTTTTTTGGTGTCATGGCTTCTTCTGAGTCTCATTTACCCCTGTGACCTTCCTTTACCATTGGCACTGTAGCCTCCTAGAAGTATGGCATGGCCCCCTGGGAGGCCATGAGACCCACTTTATTACTTATTTATTATTTATTTAGCAAGCTTCTATGCCGCCCCATTCGCCGAAGCCTCGGGGCGGCTTACAACAATAAATAAATACATATAATCATATAAAAACAATATAATTGGAAATGCCCTGGCCAAAGATATAAAATCAATAAATAAGCTAACAGTTAAAATGCCATTTAAATAAAAACGTCTTGGCCTGGCGCCGAAAAACATATAATGACGGCGCCAGGCAGACCTCTCTGGGGAGCGCATTCCATAAGTGGGGCACCACTGCAGAGAAAGCCCTCCTCCGGGTACTTACCCTCTTAATATCCTTCACGGAGGGTTCCCGGAGGAGGGCCTCTCCCGCTGATCTCAAGGAGCGGGAGGGTACGTATGGACGTAAGCGCTCCTTTAGGTAACCAGGACCCAAGCCGTTAAGGGCTTTATAGGTCATCACCAACACCTTGAATTGGGCCCGGACTTCAATGGGGAGCCAGTGAAGCTGACGGAGGACTGGAGTCATGTGAACATAATGCCCAGTCCCCGTCAGTAGCCTGGCAGCTCGATTTTGCACCAATTGAAGTTTCCGGACCGTCTTCAAGGGTAGCCCCATGGGAAGTCTAATCGGGAAGTCACCAGCACATGTGTCACTGTCGCCAGGCAGTCGTTCTCCAGGTAGGGACGCAGCTGATGGATCAGCCGAAGCTGAAAGAAAGCGCTCCTCGCCACTGCCGTCACCTGAGCTTCCAATGAAAGCTCCGGGTCGAGGAGCACTCCCAAGCTGCGGACCTTGTCACTAAGAGGGAGTGCAACCCCATTCAGGACAAGGTCAAGGTCCCCTTCCCCGAAGCCCAGTCCACCTACCAACAGGACCTCTGTCTTGTCTGGATTGAGCTTCAGTTTATGAGACTGCTTTTACAGCATGGGCAAGCAGGAAACTTGGAGATCCTAGTCACCCATGTTCCGGCATGTTTAAGAGCAAACACAGTGCTTGTGCACATAAGCCAAAGTCTGGCGATCCAATCTCCCGTTCTGTTCAGCAGGACTCTAGATGTCAAACACTAGGATCCCTTTCTGGGTTTCTCCTCATTCTTCTGCCCTGTTTTGGAGCTAGGAACACGAACCTACAAATCTGTTGTATTGGACCGTTCTTCTAGTCCAGCCTTTCTCAACCTGATGGCCTTCAGAGGCATTTGGACTGCGACACCCAGAATTCCCATTAGCAGGGCCATTGACTGGGAATTCTGGGTGTTGTAGTCCAAACATGTCTGGAAGGCCCAGGGTTGTGGGGCGGGGTCTCTTCTAGCCCAATGGCTACCACTGGCCTGTCAGAACTTCAGGCAGGTGACTTTCCCATCACCTCTCTGAACCCTTTAAATTCCACTTGTTCTAGGTTGAACCTTCTGCATAAAAAGCATGTCCTCTCCCACAGAGTTTGGCCCCCTCTGACACCAAGAATCTGCAGCATCCTGTAATTCCATCATCATTTCTAAATCCGTATCTCCTGAGCTGCTGGAGCTCGAGCTGCCCACAAAAAGAAAATAAAACAATTCAGTCTGCGAGACGATCCGCCTGCCATCTTGTGCATTTCCAGTGCAGGGTGTCATCGTATGTCACCATTCCGTAAAATGTGACCCTGCCCTTAGTTTGCAAGAGCTAACCTGAAAGTGTGCCTTTCGGAGGAAAATGACACCTTTTCCATGTCCCTTCCCGACTTTTCACCCTTTGATTTGCTCTCCAGGATTTTAAAAACAAAGCTTATTCCGCTAATATCCCACTCTTGTACATGGCTGTAGATGGAAGAGAGTTATGACAGAACACCCTTTCGTCAAGGGTGGGCAGAAAAGAGATCTTGCAGAAGCTTTGAACTTCCACTCCAAGCATTCCTGACAATTGGTCCCACTGGCAGAGACACCTGGGAGCTGAAGTCCAATCTGCCTGGAGGCCCGCCTTCTGCTCTCCCCCAATTCGGTGCGTGGCATTGCACGGCTTTGCCATTGCGGCACCACGGAATCTCAAATAAGCTCGTAGGGGCAATCCGTTCCCCAGCTCAGGGCACCCATGCCTTGCATCTACCTGGCGCAGAGTCAGATCTTGCCGGAGGACGTTTGTGGGCCCCAGCTGAGGCAACGGAGCCGTAGCTGATTGCACAGCAGTGCTGGTTCCGTGGAATGATCCAGTAGAACTGACTTCCTCACCCTGCTGCCTTCCAGATTTGTAGGACCATGGTTGGCTGGAGCATGCTGGGAGGTGTTGTCTCGTCCACCTGAAGGCACCAGGCAGTTCTCCCCGCCTGGGTAAACATGCCAGCCAGGCCGCTCTTGGTGAGAGAGCTGCTACACTGAGCAACTTCTCGGTCTGCAGACCCCTGCGAGGGGAAATGCCAGTCTCTGCACTGCAAGAAGCTTAGGTTGACAATCCCTGCACCACAAAGAGCGAGTTAGAGGCACAGCAGAACTGTTACTTGCGTTTCTTGTTTCCTTACCCCTGTTTCCTTCCAAATTGTTCCTGCACTACTGCTTCAGCTCAGGCCGCGTTGCACAAAGATCTGTGATGGGCATTAGATGTTGTTCGACACCTTCTGGCCACTAGACATAGGGCTGGTATAGCCAGTCAGTTGGCTTTGAGAGACTTCGTGGATTGTGTCTTTCAGTTTTTTTTTAAAAAAGCTTCTGTTCAGTGGCACGGAGAGTAATTTAGAAAGCAGTCTTATTCACAGTGGGTCAATGTTACAGAGTGGTTGGTGTAAGGGCAGGCAAGCTGGTGCATTCCTTCTGTTTGGGACTACATTTTCCTTAGCCCCAGTGAGTGTGGCCAATGGCTAGGGCTTCTGGGAGTTGTAGTCAAAAGTGCTGGAGGGTGCCTACAGCTCAGTTAGAATGTCAGACAAGAGCTGGAGAGACCTGGGTTCGGTTTCTGCCCCTTGGCGATGCAGCTTCTGTCCTGGGCCAATCACTGATGGGAGAGCTGTGCACGAAGAGCCCATTCAAAAGGAGTGGATGATAAGGTGGGGCCACACCTTGTGAAGAACACCCGGCTGTGGAGGTGGTGATCCAGACGGGTTGCATTATGTGCTCTTGCTGTGGGGATGGGTCTGCCCTGCAGGTCTGACGTGTCGCAAGGCGATGAGGCAGTAGCAAAGGGTTGCTAACGTTTCCCCTTCTCTCCTTAAGTTCCCTGGAGGCAATGAGAACTACCTGGCCATCACTGGGACGGCCCACCCCTTCTTGTCTGGGGCCGAGGTGAGATCCCGGGGGCCCTGGGCACCTGTGCGGGAGGGGCGGGTGGCGATGCCGGCGGGCAGGCGGGTGCCGCCCGCAGCTGGGGGCGGGGGTGGCCACCCATTGCCCAGTGGCAGGGCAGATGCTTGGCGGGCAGGCGGGAGGGCCTGGTGCTAGCAGGCGGGGAGAGGGCGCTTCTTGACGAGGGAGCTCTGCCCACTGTAGCAGACAGTGCCGTGCTGGCTGGGCGGCCCCTTAGCTGGTGTGGCGCTCCCGCCGGGGCGTACGCATCCGAATTAAAGTCTCTCCCCTCTCTTTGCCCCGCTCAGACCTTCCACACGCCAAGCCTGGGGGACGAAGAGTTCGAGATCCCACCCATCGCGCTGGACACCGACCCCTCCCTGGCTGTTTCTGATGTGGTCGGCCACTTTGAGGACCTGGGAGACCCGGTGACCACCCCGGACGCCACTTTTTCGGCCCAGTATGGGGTGCAGGCACTCGACATCCCCGTGGGCATTAGCCATGGCCTCATGGAGCAAGGGGGCGGGCTGCTGAGTGGCGGGCTGGCCATGGTGAGTCCGTCCTCGTGCTGCCCCGGGAGGTGGCATGAGGGCAGGGGTGGGGGCGTTCCAGAGCAGCTTACATGTGAAGTGATGGCATCTGCCGGCTGAGCTAAGGTGCATGCTGCGCTTGAGCTGGCTCCTCGCCGGTCACCTGCACCCCTCAAGGGATTCCTCTTCCCTTTTTGGGCCCAGATGAGGCACGAGCCGCTCATGCGGGTGCTAGCAGAGGAGGCCCCTTGTAGTGCTACCGCGATATTTCTCCTGGCAGTGCTCGCAGGACAGAAGGAGGGTTTTGGTGGGGGCCAGAAACGGCTGGGGGAGGGGGTCGCAGTTTCCCTCCTCGTGTCCTGGTTGAGCCATGTTTCGCCGTCATGAACAATCGCCCCTCGCATCTGGCTCCGGATGGGCGGCGAAATCGCTAGGCAGGCCCACGCAGTTCTAGCTGGTGTGAGTCTGGAGAGCTTTGTCCTGCTCTGCTTTATGCACTTGGCTTGGGTTCCATGGCTGGCTGGCTTTTTTTGTGCAGTCCCCCCAAATCCATTGCCACACACAGAGAACTCGGCAGAGCAGAGATCCTTCCTTTTGCTTGAGCGGCAGGTCAGAGGGAGCTGCGGGCTCCCGAGAGCCCATCTCCTGGGCACAGCCTCTGCTAGTCCAGGCGTGTGAATGCACACACACGAACCCTTGGCAGCACTGCTCCATGCCGGCCGACCCCATGTCCCTGTCCCGTATAATAGGGGTGTTGAACCTCCGGCCCACCGGCTGAAGCCTGGTGTGCTTAGGATCCTAGCCTGGCCCTCGGAGGTTCCCGGAGGGCTGCATCTCCTGGCCTTTTACTCTAATTAGCAGTCATTACATGTTTTCCCAGCTTCTGTGGACTTTCCCCTGTTAAAAGGTGAAATACCTCTCCTAAGGCTTTGATGCCAACTGGATGAACTCTAAATAGGCTGTGACTTATGGCAGTCCGGGTCCTGCGCCATCGGCCTTCAGCACCACCCATCGCCATGTGGCTCCTGAGGAAGCAACTGACATAGAATTTCGCTGTTGGTCCGAAAGAGGTTCAGCGCCCCTGCCGCATACGGCAAATTTGTTCCCCTTGCTTAGCCAGGACGCCTGCATCAGCACACACGAGGGGGAAGCGTCAGCAAGCTTGGAGAAACCCCGAAGTGGGCCAGAGTGCCCCAGACAACAGCAAACCCCCCAGAATACTTGCGGGAAAGGCACCGGAAGGCATAACGGGCGGGGGGATGGGTGAGGAGGGAGCCCAGAATAGCCCCGTGAAGGGCAAGCACAGGTAAAATCGGTTAATACAGAGACTCGGCCAGGGCCGCTCAGGTTCGTTAGATGCAGAGTGGGGCCTTGCCTCTGCCCAGGCGTCGTGGTGGGAGCCCTTCGTCTGCTCTGGGCCTGACGCAGGCTGGCCATGAGCCTGCATCGTCCTCTGGCACATCCGCAGGGCTTGGGCGAGAGCCGTGGTGGCTCTGGGCTTGGGATGTGCCGCTCTCCCTCCGTGGGTTGACTTCTCACCGCCGGTGCGGCCAGCTGCCCGTGTTCCTCCTCCTCCTCTGCCTTGCCTGTGCTTGTGGGAGCCAGAGAGCAAGCGGGCCGTGGTGTCTCCTGCTCCACCCTCTCTCTGCCGCCATCACTGGGCCAGAAGGAGCTGGCTGTGAGGCTTCAAAGGAGGAACGGCCCAGGCGCTCCCCCTCCAGGGACCCAGCGGGGCCGAGGGACCCTGACCTGTGCCCAGCCATGCCCACCTTTGAAGCTGGCCCTGGCGGCGGAGAGGTGCAGCGCTCAGGCCCCGGCAGCCGCGAAGTAAGAGCTGGAGCAATGCGAGGGGGAGCTGCCGCGCCGCGCTTGGGCCTGGGCTGCCTCCAAGCAGAGCCAGCATCGGGGCAGCATCTGTCCTGGCCAGAGAGCCCAGCTGAGCTAGCGGTTCGGGGATGCCGACCTCGGGGCGACCCCTCCGTGACCCGCCGTGTTTTCCTCTTGCCCGTTTCAGGACCTGGACCACCCCATGGGGACTCAGTACAGCGCCAACCCGCCAGTCACCATCGACGTCCCCATGGCGGACATCAGCTCCAGCCTCATGGGGCACGGGCAGCTGACCACCATCGACCAGTCGGAGCTCAGCTCGCAGCTGGGCCTCAGCCTGGGGGGCGGTGCCATCCTGCCCCCCGCCGCCCAGTCGCCCGAGGAACGGCTCTCGCCCACCCCTTCGCCCGCCAGCTCCATGCATGAGGAGGAGTCCGAAGAGATCCGGCGGGTGAGTCTCAGGGTGGGGGCTGCTTAAGCGGCTGCTGGCCAGACTGGACCCCTCGAGCGGTCGTCCATGTCGATCGACGTGTAGCATTCTCGCCCTGCTTTTTGGGCAATTGGCTCCCTAAGCAGCTTGTTTCAACAAAAGCTTGCATGGGAGGGCAAAGGGGGAAGAGGGAGCCAGGTTTTTCAAGGCCAGAACAAAACAGCGACTTAGTGGGCATTTAAATGGGCCAAGCTGAACTTTCCATCCGCTCTTCCGCAAGGTTTCATCCTACTGTGTACCCCAGCGGTGTGGTGCCAGGCATGGAGGGGGCAAGTCCAGAACTCCTTTCAGCCAGGAAACACTGGGTGACTTTCCATATCACTGCACATATCAGCAATCAGCCCCATCACAATATGCTCCCAGGCCAGAATGGGCTTTGAGCAGGTTGGCTAGGCTTGAATTCCAGAAGAAGGGCCTATTATCCTGGGCTGGCTAGAGTGGATGTGAGATAGGAATGAGCTGGAATTCTTGGGGAGAAAAGGCCAGGATTCCCCCCCCCCCCCCCCCAAAGCGATTAGGCAAAGCCTGCAGGAAGGATGACCCATTCTCCTGAGACACTTCGGAATTTCCCGTCAATAACACCCAGCAAACAGAGACAAAGAACTCACCTGCTTGCCGAGAGCAACAGTAGTTAAGGCAATCAAGAAACCATCAAGCCCCCATTCCCTCAATTAGCATAAGTGAGAAACCCTCCCATAGACAGGTACAGAGAGAGAGTCTAAAGAGCAGGCCCCTAGGAAAGGCAGTCAGACATGCTCTGAGCGTGGTGGGAAGAGGAGGGAGAAGCTCTGAGAAGAGTGCAGGCCGTGGCCAGCTCTGAACACAGGAACTGGCAGCCCAGCCTTGCAAGCACACACGTGTCAGATAATGGACCCCCTTTCTCCTCCTCTCTCTCTGTTAGTTTCTCTCTCTGTTCGGCAGGAAGCTCTTTATCTCGTTAGAAATACAGAGCAAGATTGAGAAGCAACAGGAATATTAGCTGGCTTGGCAACACCAGGTTAAAAGCTTGTGTCTGCTCCATATTTTCTACGGAATGCACTTTCTCTTTTAAGTGGTGTGTGTCCGAGTGAGTGAATGCTAAACTAGGGTTTGTCCTCTCTGGCCTTGCGTGTTAACTCCCAGGAAAGACCTGAATCCCAAACCTTTCTAAGCATTCCCATGGGCAAGCACCTCCCTTCACGGTGCATTGCTTCCCACTTGCATCTGGCGTAACATCCAGGACCAGTCGCTCCTTTTCTCTGCTTGGCCTACCTCACAAGGTGGTTGTTGGGCTAAAAGGAGGTGGCGAGTAGAACGAATTGTGCTAGCTTGAGCTTTGGAGTGGTGGGAGAGGCACGGTTAAAAGTGCTACCCAGATGCTTCTCCCCAAGGCAGGTGGGGGATCCGTGTGCCCCCAGGAGCTGTGAGGCTCTCCTCTGGCGACTGACGCTGCTGCGTGGGCACTGGGCTCTGGGGAGCACCAGGTCCCCCGCCCTGATCTAAGCTCAGTGGGTTTTTCTTTAGTCAGCACATTAAAAACGCTCAAGTTGTACGTGTGTCCCGGCCGCTTCCCCACGGGGCACCTCCTGAATCCTGCCCCATGGGGCTCTTTGCTCTCTGGCTTTGATTTCTCATTCCTCTGCTGCTTTTCTAAATCCCGTTTTCCTCTCCATGAATCAGCCATTTGGACGGAAATGGCCCGCTTCCCCTCTCTGGGCCTGTGGTCAGGGTGCTTCCTGCCACTTGCTCTGAAACGTGCCTGCCTGGCTTGGCTGCCGTTCGCTCTGCTGCCCCTCGCCTACTGCAGGCATCTGCAGTCAGACCCAGGCGCAGCCTGGCAAAGCTAGAACTGCCAGCCCCCCGTGGGTCTCAGCGCCACAGGCCCCCTCTGACCCTGTTCCCCCTCTCCCTTCTGCAGCAGGTTTCCGTGGCCAAGCCGGCCGTGGCCCCTTCGGTGGTGGCGCCCGCCCCGGTGGCCCCGCCCACGGTGTTGCTGGACACGGGGAAGAAACCAAAGCCGGCCAAGAAGCAGAAGAAGAAGAAAGACCCCAATGAGCCGCAGAAACCTGTCTCGGCCTACGCCCTCTTCTTCCGCGACACCCAGGCAGCCATCAAAGGGCAGAACCCCAAAGCCACTTTCGGCGAGGTCTCCAAGATCGTGGCCTCCATGTGGGACAGCTTGGGGGAGGAGCAGAAGCAGGTGGGTCTGTCTCGAGGGGGGGGCGAAGGGGGGGCAGGCTGGTTGGAGGGAGGGAGGGAGGGAGGCCCCCTCCGAGCGGTTGCCATCAGCTGGTGACTGTGGGGCATTCACAGCAATAAAATGACCTGAGATTATGCTGTGCTGATGTGAAGGCCTGAAGCAAACCGGGAGAGCCAGAGCCAGGGCACGTGTGTGCACGCCATTCACTTCCTGAAACAAACTCTCGCAGTCAGAATGTGTGAATGCGGCGTTTCTGTCTCCTGCCACAGAATAGATCCTTGCAGTCCACCCACCCCTGGTCTCCAGCAGCCACCCCCCACCTGGTCCCTGCCTGATCCTTTGGGCAGCAGGGCCCCTCATTCCCATGAAGGGTGTAGTCCACGCATCTGGCAGGCACTGGGTTGGGGAGCCGGGTCAGTGACTCCGCAAGATCTCCGGTCCGGCCAAAGGTGCTTTCCGGGCTTGCTGCTCCCTCCGGCCCGTCCAGGCGGGACTGTGGGGAAGGAAGCAGTGACTTGGGGCGAGCTGGAGTTCTCGCTGGGCGTCTCCGTGGCTCATGGCTACAGCTACCCTGTGCCGTGGCCCGGAGGGGCGTGTACAGGGAATGCGGCTTTGCACCAGCCCCATATCCCCACTCCTGCTGCACGCAGTGCCTTGTTTGCACGATCGCTGCGGCTTATCGTGGCTGATTTAAGCCACGGTGGGTTGTGGTGCAGGTGAACTCGCCAAGATCCTGGGTTATATGGGGAGCATTTGATTCTGCTGCCCAGTTTCAGAGGATGCGGCAGATGGTAGCAGCCCCATGCCAGAGCCAGAATATTTGCAATAACTGCCCACACTGGTTGGCAGGAAGCCATGACGGGCCCCGCTGCCAACGCCCAGTTTGGGGAAACATAACTGGTTAGCTGATTCTTCTCAAGGATTCTTCTCCCTTTAATTTTAGATGAGGCAGCTGTAGTCACAGGAAATGGCTCCCCCTTCTCTTGGGCACGAGGAAAGGCCTGGTACCTCATCTGTGATTTTTCAAATACCTACGTGTCTTTTAAAATATAACTGTTTCTTCAAATTAAATCTGTGGACTGCTGAATTGTGGGACCTTTCTAGCCAGTTTCCTTCTTAATGAGACTGATGGATGAGCTGATCTTAGCAGCCCTACTAATCAGTAATTTATTTACTTATTTAGGAGACTTCTATGCCGCCCCATTCGCTGAGGCCTCGGGGCGGCTCACAACCCCCCCACTCCCCCTCCTCGTTTTGCTTGGTGGTTCTACTCCTTGCTAATCCTGGCAGGGGTCCTAAGGGTCCCAGGGCAGGCCTGGGAGGAGCTGGTTTAAGTGTGTGGTAAAGCGGAGAGGTTTAGGTGGGAATCCAGGGATCCCGCTGTAACAACCCCCTTGTCTTCTGCAGGTTTACAAACGGAAAACAGAGGCAGCAAAGAAGGAATACTTGAAAGCGCTGGCGGCTTATCGTGACAACCAGGAGTCCCAGGTACATAGGACACCCCATTCTGCATCAAGGAGCCTGTTTTAATTCCCACCAGGCAGGGCTTTCTTGAGGCTTTCCTTCATCATTTTCTTGCTGGTGCAGATGGTGGAGAAATGCGCTTAGGAAGGTCATACCCACGATTCAATCATCAGCCCCACAGGCCAGATCTAAGCTGACCGGTGTCCCAGTCTGACCTTGGAGGCTCCCCAGGAGGCTGTGTGCCCCTCTTTCCCCCAGTCCTTTGCCCATTTCCTGTCTTTTGGGTGCTCCTTCCCCCATTCTCAGAGGCTGAGATGCCTTTTCTAAGAACCCTGTATGCTGGCATTTTGGCCCTGTCCCAGTCCTGGGAGCTTCTCCGAGATGGAATCCGGCCTTTTGGCTGGAGGTAGCCCTGCTTTCCCAGAGAGCGCCACTTGCCAAACTAGCGCAGGACAGTCTCTTCTGACCGACAGTGCCTTTCCCATCCCCTGCTCCCTCGCCTGTTCCAGCTGCGGGTTGAAGCTGGGGCTTCCTGCAGGCTCAGCCCCTGCTTGATGGCTCTGTCAGGTGAGGAAAGGGAGGGGGCTAGTTAGCAGAGGCTTCCTGTCTGCTTCGTGGGCTTGTGGGCCACCCTCTTGCTAAAAACCGGGGGGGGGGGGCTCCTGCATGGGGCAGGACTGGGGGGCCGGGGTCTTTTGCAAGCACTCCTTGCTCCCAAAAAAAAGATGCTTTAAGCCAAACAAACCTGCTGCATCCTTGGCCTTGCCTTTCTGGTTAATTCCTCCCTCTTTCTTAAAGAAGCCCAGCCCCGTAGCTTGCACGTCGCCCCCTGCCCAGTTAGAGCCCCACATTCTGGCACGGATAAAGCCTGAGGGGGATTGTGGGGGAAGCCGTCCCGAGCTGGCCGTCTTACCTCCGGTCCCCGCTTCCTTCCACAGACAACCGTCGAGACGGTGGAGCTGGACCCCATCTCTTCGCCCCCCGAGCAGCCGGTCCCCGCCGCAGAGTCCGCCTCGCCGCCCGCGCCCGTCCCGCCCACTCCGCCCGCGCTCGAGAGCCCCCCGCCCCCGCCGGCCATAGTCACGACCCAGCCCACCGTGGTGGTGACCTCGGGGACGGGGCCCCAGGTGGCGGGCCAGGCCAGCATCACCAAGATCATCATCCCCAAGCAGATGCTGCCCTCCTCGCTGGCGGTCACCTCGCAGGGTGGCGTGGTGACGGTCATCCCGGCCACCATGGTGACCTCACGGGGCATCCAGCTGGGGCAGCTGCAGGCCGGCACGGGCACCACGCAGATCGTCACCCGCTCGGTGCTGGCGGCCGCGGCGGCAGCGGCGACGTCCATGCACCTGCCGCGGCTCCAGCCCCCACCCCTCCAGCAGATGCCGCAGCAGCCGCCGGCCCAGCCGGTCACCATCCTGCAGCAGCCCCCTCCCCTGCAAGCCATGCAGCAGCCCCCCCTGCAGCAGAAGGTGCGCTTGAACCTCCAACAGCCGCCCCCTCCGCTCCAGATCAAGATCCTGCCCCCGCCGGCCCTGCAGATCCAGCCCATCGCCCTGCGGACAGAAGAGGGCAGCCCCGAGCGGCCCAGCGCAGAGCTCCACACGTCCCCGGAGTCAGTCGACGTGGTGCCGGAGGTGAGCGTGCTGGGGCATGTGGGGCAGAGGGGGGAATCGAGAGTGCCCCTGAGCATGTGTTGGGGTGCCTGTGGGCGGGGGGTGGTTCCCAGGCTTCCCTGCAGCAAACGCCCTTCTGGAATCTCACGGGAGAATCCATGCATGGGAATCCACGATGAGCCCTGGGACCTGGCCCCCAAGAGCTTCTTGGTGCGTGTTCTTCAGGCCACAATGGTTCCGACACCCCTCTTAAGGCATGTCTCACACACCTGTTCAGATGAGCACATAGCCCACCGCTCCTTTGCACCCTGGCCTCCCCCTGCTAGCACTGGAGGAAGGAGGGGAGCCAGGGTCCAGTAAGCGAGGCCGTACCCCAATCCTTCACTTTTCTCCTGGCTGGAAGAAAACTCCAGCCGAGATGCAGTGGCCTCCGCGCCATTCAGGCAAATTTGCAAGGTCCGCCAGCCATCCCCTTCTTGAGCATCCGCCCCAGAGGGGGAGGAAGGGGTGCCACGATCCCCTGTGGAGGAAGAGGGCCGCTTTTCCTGCACGAAACCGATGAGGGCCATCTTGGCTTCCCCTCCCTCCCATGCAGGTGGAGTCTCCCACGCCAATGCACGTGGAGCTTGTGTCCGAATCACCAGTGGCCATATCCCCCCGGCCTCGCTGCATCCGCGCCGGCTGCGACAACCCCCCCGTGGCCAGCAGCGACTGGGACAACGAATACTGCAGCAACGAGTGTGTCGTGAAACACTGCAGGTACGTGGCCGGGGGTGGGGGCTGCAGGGGAGCTGAGCCACGGCGCTTCCATCAAAACAGACATGCCACAATAACGGGGAAACTCCCGAAAGTCTGAGCCTCAAACTTTAGCCAGCTGGGCAGGGTTCATGCGGCTGGGGAGCAGCCAGACTGGCTGCAATTGGGAATGGCTTCTGGGCAATCCAGACTCATTATTGCAGTCTTCACGTTCGTAAGACCGGAAGCGGAAGTTCGACAGCTCTCCTCTCTGCTCTGCAGCAGTGAGGACTAGGCACTTAACTTTGTGTTTAAAATGGGGAAACGCGGCTGGCGTAAAGCAGGGATCACCTGTGGCCTGAATCTGTATGCACCGACTTTGATGGACATGTTCTGTGGACACAGCCTGGCGATGGCCACGCACCCACCAGTCCCCCTCGCACACCTCCAAGCCAGGGACCTCAAAACAGGTCCAGCCCCACGGTTTAGGGAAAAAAAATAAAATAAAGGGAGCATATCAGTCAATGCAGTTAGGGAGAAATGGTCCCCCGCATTACTAGCGATATTGCTAGCATGTTTTACTCTACAGGGGTGGAGAGCAGAGGAGGCCATGCCTGGGCCATCTCTCCCTGCCAAGAATAAATTTGGTGGCCTTTCCCAGCTGGGCACCCTCCAGATGTGGTGGCTGAGGAGGATGGGAGCTGCACTCCCACACATCCCATCTCTCTGAGGGGTGTGGCGCCTCGGCACAGGTGCCGAGCACCCATGCTGTGCGGTGCTTGCCTCGGCCCCCTCTTGCGCTTGGGACTTCCTGAGTTGCCCCAGCCAGAGTCTCCCTTTCCCCGCTGGGTACATAAGAACCATGTCCAGACAAGGCCCGGATCCCTCTGGTCCGTCTTCTCTGCGTGCAGCGGCCGTCCAGCAGCCAGCCGGGTATTCCCAAGGTGGAGAGGAGTGCAGCAGTACCTTCCTCCCCATGTTCCCCAGCAGCTAGTGCACATGGGCATGCCACCTCCTGTGTTGTATGCTATTGGCCAATCATACCCTTCCCCATGAACTTGTCTGTTCCGCTCGTAATGCTGCCCAAGATGATGGTGGCACCGCTTGCGGGAGCAAATCCCACAGCTTTCCCTGTGCCCAGGGTGATGGGCTTCCTTTCACCTGTCCCGAGTCCCAGCTGCCACAAGATGTCCGTGGGAGAAGCGTGTTTCCTTACTGAGATGAACACACTTGAGGGCCAGGACTAGGAAGCTTGGCCTCGAACTACTCTGCCTCTGACTTGTCTCCTCTTCTCTCTCCCCCTCTCTTGCAGGGATGTATTTTTAGCTTGGCTGGCCTCCCGCAATTCCAGTAACAACGTTGTCTTTGTGAAATAACCCCCAGCTTTTTGGTGCTTGGGGGTGGGCAGAGGAAAACAGCAATCGTGTGTTCCCACACACACCTTTTCCAAGGACGACAAAACCACACAGGAATCACCATGCAACTGTGGGGGTCGGGTGGGGTGCAGTGAGGTTGTTGGCCATCCAGAGACCGTCTACAAGAGAAGACGCCGTCCCTTCCGGGCAGGAGGAAATGGTTTGGGTGCTGCAGACTTCTTTTTGTTCCTTCCTTTCTGGTTTTTTTTTCTATACGCTGTCCCTTGATATGTGTCGCCTGATGGAGCTGATTAAAAGCTGGACGAGGGATGTTGGATCGGGCCTGCCAGCGACTTCTTGGGGGCAGGGTGTCGGGGATGGGAATGGTACGCCGGGCAGAGGAAGGGAGACCGAGCCGCGTTCAGCCTCATGCCAACCTTGCGAATGGAACTTCTTTGTAAAGAGGCATGTTGCGAGGATGATGTCAGAAGGAGCCTGGGGCCATGAGGAGCCCTGGGCCCTCTGCTTGCCAGAGCAGCACTGGGGTGGGGGGTGGGCTGCACTGGGAGGAGAGCGCCTTCCAGCTTGGATGTGGCCCCACCGTCCACCGTCTGGGTGAGCAAAGAGAATGCTGTGCCTTCACAGCCCCAGACGGCCTGGGATGTGGCTCTGGGCTTGCAAGATGTGAGTCCAGAATCCGCAGCCTCTGCCACCTCTTGCAACCAATCGCGGGAGGCAGCTGCATGCAACCCGCTGCTGCTGGGCTTGAGGGCCTCTTCATGCTGGGCGCCGGCAGGCCCAGGCACTGGAAGCCTCTTCTGCACACCCCTGGGGAATGCGGAGCTGCGGCAGGCCTCCCAGGACCTGCTTGGAAGGCAGCACCCCGTGGCCTGCCCGGGCTGAGGCAGCACCAGGTGCCCTGCCGAGGATGCGGTCGGGGCCGCAAGCGCCCTTCCAGCACCATGCCTGAACCTGGAGAGGGAGGCAGGGCTGGAGGGAAGCCGGTGTGGAGGATCCCTGAGACCACCGACCCTCTCATTCCACCACTAGTTCTAGGTGTTGTAATCATGGGGGAAAGCTGTGGGCCTGGATGCTGTCAGGACTGACCCACCCTCCCTCCTGAGCTAGGCTGCCCTCAAGCTGATGGAGATTCCTCTGCTCTCATCTTGTGCTGTTCACCACTCCAGAATCTGCCTTCGCTACAGAGCTGGATGCAAACATGTCGGTCCCCCAAGAGGGCAGCCGCTTTCCCCTGCTGGCACTTGGCCGCCCGAGCTGTTGTGCCACACGCATCTTGGGCTGTAACTCCTGTTTGCCCCAGGCCAGTGATCCAGAAAGGTGCCCTGCAGGGGGTCCCCAGAGCCTGCCCCCTGGCCCTGCCTGCTTTTCTGGTTTCCCAAGAAAATGGCTCTCCTGAGGGCAGCAGCCGAGAGAGCAGTGTGTCCCCCTGTGGTTGGGACTACAAGTAAGATCCTGGGGACTGCAGTCCGACACCATTCGAAGCTACCTTCACCTGGTGCTGTCTGGATGTGTTGGACTACAGTTCCCACAATCCCTCAACCAGCTATGCTAGTGGGGGACCGTGGAGTGGAGGCTCTAAGGAATCGCATCCCTCCATCCTCGCCTTACGACAGTGAAATTAGAAAATGCAGGGGTTTGGAGTGCGAGGCCTCCAATTTTCCTGGGGCAATGTGTCAAGGGATGGGCCAACAACAAAATCAGGACTTGGTTCTGGAAAAAGAATCCCATTTTATTAAAAAACTAAAGATTAGAATACACGCCTCCCTGCCCCGCTGGCAACGAAACAAGCACGCCCTGGTCCGCAGCACGGAGAGCCCTTCGACCGCCCCTACATATTCTTGGGCTTGGAGATGATTCCATCTGGGTAACGCTGCTTGAACTGGGCCACCACATCCGGATCCAGCAAGTGGATCCCATCCAGCTGGTTGCCGAGGGTGATCCTGCGAGGAGGGGGGCAGAGGAAGATCGGGTAGCGGGGAGGGAGAGTAAAGTGATGGGTGAATTGCTCTGTGGCTGAAGTCATTCTTGAAGTCCTTGTGATCTAGTGAGCTAGTTCACCTTAAATCTAAGCAAAGCGCTTCTTACAGAATATACAGCAGAAGGGTGGGGGGACTTCCAGGGGCTACGACTGGCCCAAGCAACCCCTGCACCTTCCCCTGGCCACCAAGCATGCAGTGGTTTTCTGGTTTTTCTGCTCCCCCCTCCCTTCAGAAAGGCTGGAAAATGCTGGTAATTTGGGCCTTCCCCATCAGTGAACTGCTCCAAACTGGAATTTGGCCCCCTGGGCTGAAAAAACTTTGGCACCTGGGATTTGGAATTAAGGTGGTCCGAACTGGCTGGACTGCTCTTGTGGGGGCTGTTTGGAGCCTGAAAAGGCAACTTGGCTGGCCATGTGCAAGCCTGACTTAGCCTCCATTTGAAATATTAAGGTAACCGAGGGGGAAGGCAATTGAGTCCGCTGGTCCCAGCAAGATTCTCTGAAACTGCACAGAAGTGTCTCTCTGAAGGAGAACAGGGGGCAGAAGGATTCCCAAATTTTACAGAGTATCTCGGAGTGGTTTTGGGGTAATGCACTCACCAATTGGGCTGCACGTTGTGGGGTCTCCCAAAAAGCTCGATTTTGCGGGTCCCCGGCGAGAGACGCTCAATCATGCCATAGATCTCGTCCGGTTTGTGGCTTGTGGAGCGAACCTGCAGAGCAAAGGTGGGACCGCTTTCTTACAGGCACTAAATATGGCCGTGCGGCAGCTGCAAAGAACAGGGCACGTGTATCCGCCCAGGGGTTGGGCGGACGCTCCCATCTCACCTCTGCCACGATGACGTCGCAGTCGAGGCCCCGGTTGAAGCCCTGCGGGTTTCCTTTCACTCCGACCTGCCCACAGGAAGAGACAGACAGCTGGGTTAGCCACAGTTGGGTTTGCGGTAGAACAGGGCAAGGCCAGGGTTGGGCCAAGGGAGCAGTTTTGGAAGCGCTCGAAGGGGGGCCTCTTTCCAGTACTGGGTGAAGCCGGAGGCAACGTGAGCTGAGCCGAACCCTCAGAATACCACCCAGTCTTAAAGATCGGTTCCAGCTTTAATGTTTACAGCTCTGACTTGGGCATTAAGCAAGTAGGCCAGTGTTCCACCTACTAGGAATGCAGAGGGTTAGGACTAGGGTTTGGCGTAGGTTTATTAAGTGGTTCCAGCTGAAGTGCAGTGACCGATTTTGTATTCCCTCTTCCCCTCCAAGGCTTAGGGCTGTTTCTTGCCAGCACTGAATCTTTGACCAAGATAGTTGTCTGGACCCCGTGTCCTAAGGAAACAGGGCGCCCAAGATGGGTCCCCAACAGCCCCCTGGGAAAAGCAGAAGCACCATGCCAAGGAAAGGGGTCTCCTGAACCTCAGGATGCTGAATGCTCACTGCAAGCTAAGCTCTACTCCTGTGATCTCTTTCCCTCAAGGAGATTTTCTGGACAGGGAAAACCAAAGCGTGGAGCTCATGGGACGAGGCACGGACTCTTTGAGTCCTCGCTAACCAGGAGTTCTAGCAGCATCCCTTTTTAAAGACAAAAGTTACATTCCTAGCCGCACTGATGCTGAATCCTGCCTGGCATCGTGCAGGCTTCCTGTCGGGGGGGATTCCCAACTCGGCCGGCCGACTGCCTCATTACCAAGCAGTGCTCCTTGCCATGGTTTAGCCAGTGGCCGGTGCGTCCTGTCCGGATGATGCGCTGGAGCTGGTTTGTCTTCACCCAGATGATCTCGTCTACCCGCTCGTACCTGGAGAAGGTGGGGGGAAAGCGCCCGGGAGGGGGTCAGAGGGATCACGGAAGGGAGCGACACCTGGATTCGTCCCCGCTGCCCAGGTGCTACTCACCCCCATAGGTTGAGACACTCCCGTCCCAATTCCATGGCCCTGATGGGGAAGGGTGGAGAGAAAAAGAACTATTATTGGAACCTTCCCCAAATGCTTGCTGACTGCTCACTGCTCGCTGGGGGAAAGAGAGGCGAAGATGCTGAATCTGAGCAGCTGAATTCTCCCTAGCTTTCTGGTTCTCCCTAGAGGCAAAAGTGGTGATGTTCAGGGACTCCACAAGAGCACTTCCTTCCTCTAAACCTGGATGTAGAAGTTAAAGCACTCTGCTTTAGCAGAGTAGTTAGAATGCCAAATTTGGACCAGGAATGACCCAGGTTGAAATCACCCCACTAAAACCAAGCTTGCTGGGTGACCTGAAGCCATTTGCCCTCTGCTGGCCAAATCTGCCCCACAGGGTTGTTGTGAAGAAAAATGTGGGAGAAGGAAAAAACTACGCCCTGAGCTCCACAGAGGAATGGCAGGCTTTGAATGCTCATGCATAACCAAGTGTGAGCGAGAAACATTCTCCAGAATCAAATGTTGGCCTTGGATCGCCCTTCCCCCAAGCTGGGTCTTTCCAGAAGGGCTGGGTTGCAAATCCCACCATCCCCAGCTGAGGGAAGCCTGGCCTGGTCCCTTCCTTCATTCCCCAGTCCTCGGGCTCCCCAGGATGCTCCATACCGGCCGGTGACCCACAAAAAGAGGAACCCCTCGTCCTGCAGCACCGGGATGTTGAGGCGCCGCATCTCGTCATCCGTGAGTGTCCCGTAGGGCAGCTCCATGTGGATGTCCCAGGGTGGGTCGGCCATCACCACGGCGAACTTGCCCAAGATGCTGACGTCCAGGTAGCGGATGTCACAGCAAATCCACTGCCGGCGGCGAGAGGGAAAATGCACCGGAATATCACATTAGGCAACATAGAACTGAAGCTGGGGCAAGGTGGCGTGCTGGCTGTTGTGGACTTTGGCTCCCAGAAGCCCCTGCCAGCAGAGCCACTAGTCAGGAATGCTGGGAGTTGAAGTCCAAACTTGCTGGAAGAGCTGCCGTTTGCCCCCCGGCACAGAGGATGTTTATCCTCCAATAAAGGCAAGAATTCCAAATTGGGCGATGCGCAAACCACAGCACCCTGGAACTCCAGGAAATTATGGAGTTTTACCTCAGTTGTATATATTGACTTAACAGAACTTCTTAAAAGTTTATCCTGTTTCACAGTCAGCTCCAAGGGATGCTCTGCAAAAGGCTATGAATTTTCTTCCTGGCTGCAGGGCTGCCTGGAAAAGGTTCCCTCTCTCATGTTTTTAAAAAGCAAGTCACTTGTCCTCATCACTGAGGAGCAAAGGTGGAAAACTGGGATGTGCAGTGGGAAGACCAATTGTGATGGGTGCGGGGGGTGGGGGTTAGAGACTGGAGAGGCCTTGTTAGCAGTCAGGATGATGGGCCTTTGGCGCTCTGCACACCTTCCATATGTGTCAACCCACA